AGCCCTCGATAATGCTGAATTAGAATTAAAGGTTAGGGAAAAAGAACCAAAGAACATTGACGATGCTCTTAGATTCGCACAGCATCTTGAAGTTTCAAAGATGGTGGTAGATTCATCTCACAGGTTTGACCCGCAGGTTAAAGATTTTCAAGCAGGGGCAAAAAACATGGAGTCAATGGTACGACAGATAGCGTTTCTTCAAAAGTCATTCGAAGAACTCAGAAATAAAAGAGTGCAGCCAACTGTATCCCGAGTTGAGCGAGAGAAAATTTGTTTTAATTGTAAGAAGCCAGGTCATCTTGCAGTCAAATGTCCTCAGAAGAATGAGACCTGCAAATCTCAAACTTATAGTCAAGTGAATTTCAAAGGTTGTTACAAATGTGGAAAGACAGGTCATTTTGTGAGGGAGTGCCCGCAGAAAGGAATGACAAGCAGCACAGTAGATTACGTGAACAAGTCAATTGAAAGTAACGATCGTGTCATGTATCTGCCAATCACAATTAATGGCAAAAGAAGATTAGGTTTACTTGATAGTGGCAGTAGTGTATCCATTGTTCCAACGTCTATGGTTGATGTCACAAAGATCAGACCGACGAAAAAGAGATTGAAAGCTGTCAACAACACAGAAATTCCAGTCAAAGGAGAAATGAAGTTGCAAATTAAAGTTGATGATTATTCCAAATCAGCGTTAGTGTTGGTGTCTGATCATGTTTCAGAAATTGTTTTAGGTTTAGATTGGCTCAGGAACAATCATATCTCGTGGAAGTTTGGCGAAGGAAAAATCGCCGTGGGTAACAAAAATAGAACGATGAAATTAGTTATTAAACATTTTTCATGCAGGAAGCTTTGTCGTATTGAAGCTCACACAGAAGTGCGCATCCCTGCGCAGACTGAATTAGACGTGCCAGCAAAGATGATTGTTCACCAGCCGTCCAAGTTGGAATCGACCGGATTTATGTGTTCGGAAAACAGACAAATAGAATCGGGTGTATATGTAGCTAGAACGTTACTACCTATAAAATATGAAAGACAGTGTGTTAGGATCTTGAATGTCAACGATCAGCCGGGGGTGATAAACCGGGGAACGCGATTGCCAGATTTATCATCGGCTGTGGAAGCAAAGGAATCAGTTGATCGTCTAGCATATGAAAATCTAACAGAAGTTACAGGTATGGTTGATGGATTAGTAAAAGATATTTCTAAGAAAGCAAGAGAAGAGTTGATTCAAATACTTAAAAGTTTCTCAGACAGATTTAGCTGTGCGAGTGGGGAAATAGGTGCTACAAAAGGAGTTTTTCATAAGATTGATACTCAGGATGCACGACCGGTAAAACAACAGCTGAGGCGACATACTCCGGCGCATCAGAAGGTGATTGCGGAACAGGTTGAGCCTGAAGACATCGCAGAAGACGATTCAATAGGGGAGCCAACAGAAGCACCATCACGAAGTAGCGACGAGTCGACCAAGTCGCTTGTCCAAACCTGGACAGGCGAAGATACGCCAGAATTTTTACCAGGGCAGCCGGACATCGTTCCAGAACTTGTGAAGTTTGCTGACGAACTCTTTGATCAGCGACCAGATTTGTTTGCCGTAGGTAACCAGCCATCGATGGACCTGTTTGCTGGTCTGGACGAACGACCGACAGAAAACGATCAGCAACTGACGGAAACTCAATCGAGCACGACGGCCACAACAAAAAAAAAATGGAGGAAACCGACGAGGTGGGGACCGGAGCTAGAAAGATGGATGGTGGAAGTTCCAGAGTCTGGTGAAGATCTATAAGAGCAAACGTCGGGACGACGTTTTAGAGGGTGGGGAGCTTTGTGAAGTTGTGACGATTGTGATGATGATGATTGCGTGATTGAAATATGCCGCCTGTATTGTGATAATAATGATTGCGCGATTGAAATATGCCGCCTGTATATTTTGTGAAATTGTGACGATTGTGATGATAATGATTGCGTCTTTGAGGCGTGCCGCCTATATATATCTATATATTTTACTAGACATTCTATTTTGTTATTTGATATGCTATATATGCGACGCTGCTGTGCTGTATCGCTTTTCTGAGTATAGGAAAAGAGTATAGATAGGAGTATAGAATTTTCTATGATATAGAAAGCGTTATGTAGATAGGGCGGTAAAAACATATAAAAGGCCGCGAGTTAAGATATTGGAGGCTGGTCGTTTGTTATCTTAATTTTAGGTTTTGGTCTCTTGCTTGTCAGTTGTATTATTAATAGATTAATTTTGGACTTATCGTTTTGTTTTAATAAGGACAGAGGTTTGATTTGTATTATTTTGTTTGTTATTTTATTTCTTTTATTGAATAAAAGAAGTATACACTTGAAGTTTGGCTCGGCTTAATTATTCTACCTAAAATAATGGATGTTGAAGAAGACTTGTTGATAGTTGACGAGGTCGGCGTCTCTAGTCAACAAGCAGGGCGCGAACAAACTTCCGCCCAGCCCGTGTTTTCAGACCCTGAGAAGGTCTATTGTAGAGTGGCGGATCCCGGCCAGGAAAGACTCCGCCGAAGCGAAGGCTCGGGTGGATATTCGTATGCGGACGCGGTTCGGGACCGCGTGGTGCGGAATTCGAATGTCGCCCGGCGAAAATCTACATTACTATTATGTCCAGTAGTTATGTCAGGCTAGTCAAACTAACAAGCATGTGTTGTCAAACTGCAGTTCGATTTCGCCCTGAAAAGATATACAACACGTCACAACAATACACTATCGATGATTTTAGAAAAAATTCAGTCATTTGCAGTATGATCTCCAAATCACTTCGTCCAGATAACGCTATTTGACGAGGTGATACTATCGAAATACTGGAATTAACAGTTTGCCACGAATCTAACTTTTCTAAATCTAAGGAGTATAAAATATCAAAATACTTTCAAAATCTTAATAACAATTTGATAAACGAATTGAAAAGCTCAAATATCATAATAAATTCATTTGAAATTTCTCCGCTAGGTTTTTTAAAATGTTTTAAACTGACTATCATTAATTAATTTTATTTGGTCAGACCCTTTTCATAGAAGTTTAATTAATTCCGTAGTACGATTTGAACATAATTTAATGCTGATTCTATTTCTCTTGTGCCCATTTAAAATGTATGGCGATCATTGTAGAATATCTTTATAATTTACATTTTAAGTTTTATTACTTTAACTTTATAATTACAAAATATGTTTTAGAATGAAAATAAAAGGATGTTCTCATTTTAAATTTAATAACAAATATTAATGACAATTTATTGATATTACTTTACTACTATTTATATCAATATTATAATACGATTACAGTAAATGTATATTATATATTATTAGATACATTAACCTAAAAAAATAGAAGTGCTGCCAAAATTTAGAGAATAATGCTACAGCAATCAATTATTCATTCATTCAATCAATCGATTCAATTTAAAAGCGCCATTTACGCAATGCTCAACAACGCTCTTTAGTGAATTTTGAAAACAGATGGGTCTTATGACCCGCTTTGAACTTCTTAAGTGATAGAGAAGTAGTTAAAGAAGGAGGTAGAGACTTCAAAAAAAAGGAACAGAAAAAGCAAACGCAGATTTAGCATAAGAGTGTTTAGCAGGAGCGGAGGCGGACTGGGACCAAAAATCGACCCGAGACTTTTGAAATCAATCGGCCCTAAACTTTTAAAACAAATAAGCTTTCCAGAGACGTAGTTATAAATGGTGTCTTAGGATTTGGATCCGCCCTTTCCAAGCAAATTTTTTCTCAGGATATGGACCGGACCATTTAAAGAAAAATAAGTTCATTTATTGATTTTATAAACAAAAATTTGTTGAACTCCATAAAAATCAGTTTTTAATATTTCAACAACAATTTTATTTAATCTCTAAAAAATGATAAAATAATACCATAAAAAAAGTAATTGCTTTTATTAAAAATAAGCCGTTTTATTTCGTTGTCTTCTTTTATTATTTTTTTGTTAATAATATTTTCAATCAAAACATGAACTTTAAAAAACTAGATGTTAAGAAATCAAAAATTTTTAAAGCATCACTGATTGATAATTTCTTCGTTGTCTAAATTCATTAATATAGATTTTTCTGTGTTCATCAGTATGAATGATTCCAAACTGTCTTGTGACAAGCTGCTTTTTACACGATTTTTAATAAATTTTAAAATAGAAAAACTTCTTTCACAAGCTACTTGTGCGAAAGATAAGGATAGAATACACTTGTACGCCATTCCAATTTTAAAATAAGCATCCCTTATTAAGTTGTACTGCAATATGACAAAATAGCAACAATTTATGCAATTTTTATACGAAACACATGATGTTTGACATTTATTTTCAAAGTTATCCTCATCTTCTGTGTTCTTCTCAAAAACGTAGTTGCTCAATATCGGGTCTTTTATTTTCTCCAAGTTTACTGCTAAGCTTTTGAGTTCCAATCGTAGATTTTCCGCAGTAACTCATTTACAAAATTCATTAAATACTCACTTAGTTCATTTAGGGCTGTTATTGGAAGACCTTTATTTAACAATTCAAAGTTTTCGGGGTTCAGCAATGTGAAGTCATCTGCATAAAGTCTACGCGTTTCCTTGAACCTTTTGGTCGCACTACATACAGTTTTGGTAAATATCATGCACATTTTTTTTTATAAGCCTCTACCAAAGAAATATTAGGTTCCTCAAATTTTGTTTTATTTTCATCTGTTTTATTTTCATCTATCATCATCATTCTTCTTTTTTTATCCGTTTTTTCTGGTAGAGCGTTTTCAATTTCCATATTGTAGATCTCTAGATCTTCATTCATTTTTGAAATAAAATTATTTAAAATTTCTAAAATTACCTCAAATTTTTTTGAACATTTATTTAATTTCTTTTTTGATATTTTAACCATATCATATGCCATTAAATATTAATATTCATGGTTTGCAAATACTTTGAAAGTGGTGTGGTTACTTCAAAGATGCGTAAAAAATATGTACACGTAAGATAGTTTCATATTTAAGGAGCCTTTCTTTTAATTCTTTTTGCTTTTTGACAAACTTCAAATTTAAAATGCGAATTATTTTCAATATGATACAACACGGAAACAAGTACAACGTATAATCCAGAATCTGTATTTGAAAATTCACCAAATATCTTCTTCAAGGCTGTATCTTTTGACCATAAACTTGTTTCACCAATAGTAGAAAGTCTGCGATGGTGTTCATCATTTGGTTTTTCGCCTCAAAAATGTTCATACGCTGGTATGACCCACAAATAAATAATTTATAGTTTATATAATAATTTAAATAATAATTCATTCAATAACCTAAAAAGCGAGAGGCTAGACAGTATGGATCCACAAGTATCGGAAATGACCAAGTTTAGGATGTGAGCATAACACCACACAAGTATTTGATTTGGGTTTTCTTTCAACATCCATGCTGCAAATCCGTTGTATTCACCGTTCATATTTGCAGCGTCATCAGTGGCATTGTCAACACACTTTGACACATCAATATTCAGTGAACACTAAATTTGACAAATATTTTCCAGTGGATGATTCACATGCAATCATGGCTAAAAGTTTTTCATGAACTCGATCATTTACGTATCTCACAATGATTGAAGATTGATCTTTAGTTGTTATATCGGTTGGTGAATCATTTTGGAGTGAAAACATGCCAGCTGCAACAACATTTGCAACTGTTTATCGTATTTAACAACTGACAATGTTGATTAATTTTGTGATTGTGGTTTTGGACAGGAAAGTTACCAAAGAGCCTCTTCCGGAAATTCCAGATAATTTTTAATTTTCACTTTTTTCAATACATTTTTTAGGTGATCGTTGAGGCAACTGTCGTATTTACTTATGAGTAAAACCAATTTCAAAAAATTAAGAAATTGTCGTTATTATACCAAAAGCCTAAAAACTTTAAAATAAAAATAAGTAATCATATGATTATAATGGAAGTATTAAACTAAGTTCGTGTGTCGCGTACCATCACTTCCGATTGACTATGGCTTGGGAAGTTTGAAATATTTTTGACTCTTGATTAAGTTGAGTAGACTTTGAAAGTCATACCAATAGATTTCTGTCAGTTCAATTTTATAGTCATCCAGCTGAAAAATCGGCCCCCTTTATCATTTTTGTACTGGTCCACCGAGAGGTTCTCCCGGTGCTCCCGATGAGCAGGAGTTAAGAAGTGAGAACAAGAATTCAATCGTAAACCGAGGCTTTTAGGTTCAATTAATATATCTGATAAGTACTTAGGAAATAATTTAAATTAAGACGTACACATTAATGCGCAAATTTTAAAAATTATTCTATATTTTATAAGCCGAGAGTGCAAAGGAACAAGATTTGAAGGTAGGGGAGAAAAGATAGGGGCACGAGCAACCAGACGAGCAGCAGAGTTAACCGCGCATAATAAAAACAATACTACTGTTGCTACACCACTGCTACTGTTAACACCATTGTTGTTACTCGTAATGTTACTAAAATGTTATTTATACCATCAGGATTTTCAACTGTTTTTATTGACAACATTTCCAGTATTGGAAAAGTTTATAGTTAAAAATAATGGATAATAAATTCTTTGCCAAGTTAAATTTCATTATTGACTGTTGGCCAGCAGTCGCCCACGGTTTATTACGTCGAATCAGAACATCAACCTCTATTAGAATTCATTTCTTGTACGATCCATTTAATTAAATGTTATCGTAATGTAACTGTTATAATCACATGTTCGGCATGCTGTTGTCCATTTCATGCGCCTTGCTTGTTTGGTTTGCGGCTGATATATTAACACTTGTAGATATTTCTAATGTTAAATTACTTCATTTTCATTGGAAAATATAGTAGATCTTTATTCAAAGTTTTGCTACTGTTGTAATAATTGTGTTCATCGATTCTTAATGATCACAAAGTCAATTAATTAGGAGAAACATACTTGATGCTTACGATTGGTATTATATTTAAAAGAGTTTGTTATTGGCTGAAATTTAATGTCTCACCTTATTAAATATGTCTGTAATGGTAACAGTAATTTACCTGCCAAATTTTAGCCCATTTGGACAATGTTTAGAGGTCCCCCAAGGGGTCGAAATTTTCTGATTTTGGTGTTTGATCGTTCGCTACCAACTTTTGATACAGTGTTATATGATAAGATTATAAATGGTTTATGATTTGTTTTTATAAATGAAACAAAATATATAATTGTGAAAAAATATATAAATCTGCAATGCCTTTTATTTTTTAATTTCAAAAATTAGGTAAAAAATGATTGAAAAACAAGATTTTATTGCATTTCAGTTCGCTTGAATATAAATTAATGCAAATAATTCAAATTTTAGCTAGCAGTTCACGATTATATTCTGCAAAGTTTTTCCTATGCTGTTCAACTACTTGAAGCAAAAATTGTTTCTGCTCTGCGTCTTTGGTGATTGTTTCATTGAAATGTTGTACCAACGCTACTCCCCGTTCTCCAGAGTCATTGATGCAAACCAGATTCCTTACAAACACTGCTGCAACTTGGAAAGAAAGAGTATCTGACCAGTTTTCAACAGGTACATCAAGAAAACATCAATATTAGATGTTTCAAAAAATGTTTTAGATGCACGCAAATTGTCAAAACTTTGTGGTAGTGTTTTCATCAGATGTGGGCCTCGATCTGCTTGTATTGTGCGGACAAGATCAATCTTTTCTTTGTCAGACAGAAGAGATGAAAAAAGAGCAAGAGTTCCCAATTCTGGACAATTCAGTCGAACCAAGAACTGCATCGTTGTAGTCATGCAAACGCTATATCAACAAAATATCATTCACAGGTGCATCAGCTGTGAGCCTGCATGAAAACCATGACTGAAGATAAACACAAATGATAAACCGATTCAAACGCTGAATACCTTGTAAATCTCGAGCTGTAAAGTTAAAAATGGTTTTATTTACGGTGAATAATAGTTTAATTTTTAATGCGTAAATGGCTTTTGTCATCCATCGTGCCCTGTGCAGTGCACCAGGTTTGCGAATGGCTACATCAACCTGCAGCCCAACTATTTGTGCAGCAAGAAGTAGAAACTCTAAATAGTCATCTTGTGAATGTCTGACCTCAAGTTGACATTTGATGAATGCTTTAATTGCATCTGAAACAATTATCAAAGGGGTTGATCTGGCTTCTGGTGTGTGATTCATTTCTGTCCATTTTTCACGAAACCTTTTGAAAAATAAAATTTCTGGTCCAGTGGATGGTCCAAGAAAAACATTGAATACATCGGCAAGCAGCACTTCAAACTTATGATGACGGCAAGCCATCCATAATAAATTACGTCCCATTGCTTTCTCTAGAAGATTGCAACCTCCATTGAGTTTTCCAGTATTGGAAGCTGTCGTGTCAAAGCACATGCCAGTAACCATTGATTCCTACTTCCAAGATTTTATATGTTCATGAACTGCATCAGCAGCTGCTCGTCCTAATCCAGATGCTAACTTTGGAACTCCAAGAAGTTTTGTAGTGCTATCGACAAGTGATGAGAGCAGGACAGGTAACCGATGTAGACCACACCAGTAACATAGCGAGTTGACTGGTTAAAAATATACATTTTTTGCATTCTCTAATAAAGATTATCATTCTATAGGTAATTGTTAATAATATTTTAAACTCTAATTAATAATATTAGAGTAATTAATAATTAAACTAGTTTGCATTTCTAGCTTTATTTCACTCATTTTGTGCATATTGTTTAAAATTATTGATATGGATTTTGAATTATCATAACTCGATAGTAAAATTTTAAAAGCCCTTGGGGGACCGCTCAAACTAGTTCAAATGAGCTGTAACTTCACCAATTTATTTATTGTACCCAAGAGACACTTTTCACTATTTAAAAAAAAATTTCCGTGCATTTCTGGGACAACCTAATATATATATATCCACAAAGTAAGCAAAATACTTCCAATAAGCAACTTGTACAAATTTTATTTGATGCTATTTTTTATAAATTATACAAAATTAATTTGTTTTCGTATGCAACAGAAGCTTTTACTCGATTTAAGTCTAAAAATAATCTGCATGTTAGACATGCAAATGAATTTTATTTGTCGGTGACAAGAACAAAGATATACAGCAATAGCACCTTGATATGTAGATTAAAAACATGGAACAAGCTAGCGACCAGTATACAACAATCGCGATCCTACTGGAAGTTCAAGTCCGACATCCATAAACTGATAGAAACAGATGCAATTTAATCAATTTTTTTTCATTTATTTTTTTCTTTTTTGTTGTTTTTTTTTGTTTTTTATTTTTTAGACATTACGAACAAATTTTGATATATTAATTAGTTAAATTGACAATTGAACAGTATAATTTTGGTTATTTAAGTTGCCACACAAGCCCTGTGAGCTTTTGGTTTTACTTTAGATATATATATATATATATATATATATATATATATATATATAAAGATCACTGCGTTTTCGGCATTATTTAACTAGTAGTTGAGTTTATCAATGTTTCTAACGAGTTTTTTTATCATCTTAATGAAGTTTATTAAGATTAAACAAAAGTTAAATAAAAAACTTTTAATATTCATTTATTTAACCTTTAACCTAACTTAAACTTCATCAAGATGATAAAAAACTCGTTAGAAAATTGAGAAACTCTAGTTAATAGTTGCTCTATAAATTTCAGTTTAAAAAAATTCTCGATTAGCGGTGAAGTCAACGATTTTTAATGATAATTCTTTTTAAAATTAGAAATTAAAATTAGGAATATTGTTGTATTCAAACTGCTTGAAGATGATGGCTCTAATGTAAACATTAGTAGAGAGTCAAATAAAGATAAGATAAGTAAAATATTTATGTTGATAAGTATTATAGGTTGGATAAAAAAAGCCTTTTGACTTTTAATATTTTTTAATTTTTAAGAGTAGAGAACTAAAAATTAAATGATGGAAAATTTATCTAAATTGATTGTACAACACTTTTTTACAAACTCACACAGATACATGCGCAATTGCTGACATACACACGCACACATACACACATCCCTGCCTATACATCGTTTCATGTATGACCAAACTTGTACATTAATGTTCAAATGCATATTAAATACAATTCAAATAATTATTATTATTAGACTCTAAGTATATGCATCGAATAGAATACATGATAACTTACAAACGGATTGATAATTATTATTAAACTCTGGTTCTAGATTAGATAAAATGTTGCAATTCATATTTTCTTTTACTTCTTTCGCAGTGATCACCATGTTTCGATCCTTCAATTGATCTGGTACATTCTTTACGTACATTCTGGTACGCTTTTTATGCACAACAAATATTTACCAGCTAGCATTCAGGTTTGCTATTAACGCGCACCATATATTTATTATTAAATGTACCTTTTATGAGATCAATGTGCATATGTTGCATTTACTTGGATTCAATTTAAGCATATTACGTTTTTTTAAAGAAGCTAATTTGTGATAATCGGTTGCTCAATTTTTTACGTGTCGATTTTTTCAGAAAATTAATATTTTAGTGTGTTAAATTGTGCAATTTTTTAATACATCAGCGTATATTAATTTATTTTTTGAGCTATTTGTTCAAATGAGTCAAACAATGTAAGCTCTCCTGATGGCCTTGTTTTCATACAATTCAACCGTAACGAGAAATTAAACCAATTTGTAAATTTTTAACTCTGTTTCACGTCAACAAATAAAATAAATATTGTTTTCTAATGTAAAGTATATATCAGTTTGGAAAAATTATTTTGCGAAGTCATATTTCGGTAGAATGTAGGTGATGAATTTTAGCGTACACCAGGATTCTCAATCGATTGAAAGCACTTCGAACCCGTTGACTCCAGCATCGTCGTTGTCTTCATCACCAACCTTTGCTTCATCACCATTTCTAACGCGCAGACACCACAGCGTTAGTTGTCCTACAAGACAAATAAATTTTTCACAAAACGAAGATGACACGTTGAGTAAATCTTTCAGCATACCTGCAGGTTCTCATTTTTCTGATAATTCTCGTGATATCGATCAAAAGAGGTTTCACAAAAGTTCATGTAGTTTGAAAGAAAAAAGTTCATGGAAAGAATCGCTTACGGAGCTTTCAGAAAAACTGCAATTAATCTGTGGTTCAGGAAGTCAAAGTTTGTCTAGTAACTCTTTAAATTCTTTAAAGCTCAAAACTTCTGGTCTTGCGTCCAGTGAGCAAATTTACAATTTTTTGAGTGCCGACAATTTGAACAACAAACTGCAAACAAGTGATGTTGAAGAAGTGTTCAGAAACAGTTGTCCTGAAACGCCGTTATTTTTTAACAATAATTTTTCTTCAAAAACGTTTGTTAACGACGACGTTCGCACTAAAAAATATCATAAACAGTTGAAAAGGACCGAAAGTGTGACTGATTCCGAGCACTGCAACCAACAAGTTGTGGTTCGTCATTTTGAAACTTCCATTAAATTACACAACCAATTAGCTCAGATAACGGGTCTTAGTAGTAAAATATGTCATAGTCAAATTCCAAAACCAAACAGAAAACGTTATTATTTTGATATTCGAAATAAAATTTCAGCCGCAAAAATTCAAGAAGAGAGTTTTGATAATTTTTTAAATTTGGCATTGAAAAAACAACAAATTGATATATTTTGTGAAATCGAAACAGAACACTTGATTGTAAGAGTAGACAAAGTAAAACGAAAAATTTTCGTCGAGAATGCCCAGCTGAGCAACTTGCACGTTCCTTATAATAAGATTCACAAGTGTTACGAATTTGACTTAGAAAGTGACGTGCCGGAATGCTGTTTATGTTTGTCAAACAAAAATAAATCTTTAACAATAACACAGCATTCTGCCGATATAATTAATCTAGAATATAACGAATCGGCTGATAGTTTATGTTTGCCGGTTGTCAAAGGTGACGAAAAAAGTTATGGCAAGTACACAATTTCCATGTACGTACCAAAATGTTGCAACTTGAATGATATCTCAGTTCAAACTGTGGACGACAGACTGTTTATAATTGGGAAGAAAGATATCACTGGGCCAAAGAATGCAGGTCCAGAAAAGGATAAGCATCCTCATGTCAACTGTTTCAAAGTTGACGTAAAATTACCATCTAGTGTCGATTGTAGATTGGTGTCATCTTACTACACTAAAAATTGCCAATTAATTGTAAGTACTGATGGATTCACGTGAATTTGTGAATGACAGTTACATCGACACACACACACAAAAGCTTTTTATATATAACAAATCTGTGCTGTGCATATACTATTCGTGGGTATACATTTACATGTTGATATATTATAATTCATTTACTTGCTCATTTTCAATTATTAAAATACTTAAACTAACTGAATTAAACTTAAACTTGTTATCATTGTCATGTTTTACTTGCTTTATTAAACACTTATGAATATTTATGCAGAAGTTTTGTCCTGAATAGCGTCACATAACAAAGCAAACCATGCTGAATGTGTTTTTTTTAACGTTAAGTGTTTTCAAAATTTTATGCTTTTATTTTGTCAACTGCTGATTTTTTGAATGAAAATTATTTTAATGCAAAACAAGTAGCAGAAAGAAAAGTGAATGAAGCAGTTAAATCTTACATCATCTGATACACCAACAGATTTGGATTGCAAGTTCCAAGTATTTAAAATTAACAGTCAGTTCGAAAGTAAATAGTTTGTCCAAACAAATGGTGCCGTTAAAATCATTATAAGATGATTTTTAACATAATTTTTCTTAATTCACCTGCCATTTAAATTTCTCTCAGTGGGCTGTGTCAATTGTGATACCATGAAACTTTATAAATTTTCAGTTTTGACGCGTACGCTTAGTTAAACTGTTGTTTCAACCATATATCTATAGTTTAAACTTATTACAAAAGTTCGACAAACTGAAAGCACTTTCGCTTGAATCTAAAACAGTAGGCTAGTTACTGTCATTTGAATAACAAATTTATGGCACATATTATTGTTTCATGATTTAAAAATCATAAATATCTAAGAGACTCAACAAACAAACAAACGAACGAAACACAATAAAATGAACCAAACGAACAAAACAATTATAAAAACAAACGAAAGCAAACTCATCATCACCAATGTACTTAAATTTAGAAACGAAAGAAATTTCAATGAGAATTCATTCTTTTTCACTAATTATTGTTCACATGAATGTCGTTTAATTTGAAGTTTTTCAGTCATCGAGTTTATAACTCAAAAAGTCTTTTACTTTTTTTAAACCAACATTTAAAATTTTATAAAAAAAATCATAGCCGTTGGTTTTGAAAATTAAACGACTATATTTTTGTTCCAGTCTTCATTATCAGTTTTAATTTTGTAAATTACTTTGGTGTTCCGTAGTGTCTTGTCAATGTAAACATTTTTTAATTTTTCCATTCTAGTTCAACTTGTTACGATACAGGCGATAATAGGATCGGGATGTCCTCCGTCAAGTCATTCCAAGTTGGTTCCAAGTTGAGTGTCAACTTCATGACAAATATGCAAAAATTGCATCGAGGTATTTGGCCATGGACAAAAGGTTTGAAATCGAGACTACCCTTACACTACAAAATTAGATATACAGAAACCTGGATGAAGACATCTCAACCAGTCCACTACAGAGAAGAAAGTCGAAAGTTTCTACCAGACGAATTCAATCAACCTGTTAGAGTTCAAAATATACCCATCCCCATAACTTTTCCTTTAGAAGCAGATCATGGTCTTTGGGGGGGTGAGGGCATAATTGCTGGCTTGAAAAAAAAGAAAAACAGCATGTACAAACCGCGAACTCCAACAATATGGAAGCCATTTTTAACAAGACGTGTTCTATACAGTGAAATTTTAGATAAATATTTTGATATAACTGTTACTCTCAGAACCTTAAACCTCATAGATGAGTGCTATGGTTTTGATTTTTATATTTTAAAGACTCACGAAGTAGATTTAAAATCAAAACTAGGTATGACTCTGAAGAGGACCATGTTGATTGCTTTGTCTAAAAAATCTTTTTATCCTGATAATCCAAAGAAACAGAAAGAAATTTATGAAAAGTACAAAGAGTATGAAATTCCACTGGAAGAAGCAGAATGGGTTGGGTTGTCACTGCAAGAGGCTGAAAGAAAACAACATGAAATAGAAGAAAAATCAGCATTGCAAAATGAAAAACCTCTAAAACATTATTATGCTGATGATTTGTTGAAGGAAATCAAAGAAAGTGCTCCCACAAATTTAGATGAAAGCAAATCAAAGTCGTGGTTCAGGAACTTCTTAAATATTTCAGAGAAAAAATGAAAACATTTACAATGTATTTATATGTGTAATATCAACAATGATGATAATAGTGTGTTATATATGTGAGTTTAAACAACAATGATAAAGTATATATATATATATATATATATATATATATATATATATATATATATATATATATAATGCACACATATATACATTTGTGTTTATACATTTTTATTTTTGTGAAATCACTGTTAAATCTTGAAAAAAATTATTTATTAGCAGAAATATTTTGAAAAAAAAAAATAACTATGTTGATTTAAAATACAAATACTTGGTTCAATCAAAGTTTTTAAATAGCTTAAACAGTAAATATTTTTCAAAATCAAAAATTCAAGCCATGATTCTCAAAAGGTTACAAAGCTAAAAATTTATTTTGTGTAGTTGCCGCATTCATGCAATTGTTGAGGTGGATCATCGGGATAATGTTTTAATATTTTGTCAATGTAGTCTGTTATTAACATGTTTTGTTCAAGTTCATTTAACATTGCCGGTTAGACACATAACTTTTTTTATTGTGTAAGAATAAAAGAAAATGATATGGCAGGAAACAATAAATTCTATAATAATAATAATTAGTTTGGTGAGTCAAACACATCAAAAATTGATTCAAAAAACGTAACATGATTGATCAATTTTGAATGTGATTGAAATTCATTTTTCTGAGCTTTAATAATATAGGTATCTTCTTCTTCTCCTGGCTAATTCCAAATCCAACTCCAAATCATCAAGATAATCACGGTAATAATAGCGCCAGGGATACTGAATTAAGTGTTTTAGTTGAAATAATTTCAAGACATATTTTCAAAAGAGACTTACATAACGGTAGCTATAAAGTTTATCCAATCTTTCTAAAGATCTGTTCCTGGTTAAGGCACGATCAATCCGAGCCTTTAGAGCATTCAGTCTGTTGCTGTACATCAATGTGTCAGTGTAATTAGAATGGCCTGAACTAAATGTAGACGACCTGTCAGGATTCTCCATCTCGTATCCATCACCTGATATATTAATATTATAAAGAAATATTAAACAAATTGGTTTTTTGGATAATGATTAATATTCTAGTAGAAATCAAGCTAGAAAGATTAAGTTATCAATATCAGACTAAAAAATGAATAAACTTTTTGCAAAATATATAATTCATAGTTATAATATGCAAATGATTTAAAACACTCCGCACAATTTCCTAGTTACCCATTGCTAGCACTGAACTGAAAAATTAACAATACATTTTTGAATTTTTATAATAAATACAAAAGTTAAATGTTGTTTGTACCTTCATTAAAATCGTCGTTTATATCATCTTTCATGTCAACTCCTCTTGATCTCTGAATGTTGGGGCAGGCAGATAATGTTAAACTAATAATTTTATACGTGACTAAAATCTATTAATTCAATCTATGCGTATCATTTATCTTTAATGATATGTGTAAGATTGCTTTGCTTGTCATATGCAACATTTTAAAATTCGTCGTTTAACATTAATTTTCAGGATTGTTCACAGGTGTATTTTTAGCAATCGATCCCGTTTGTTTATTTATCAAATGTTTAATTGTTCTCAAACCTACTAGTTCTCAAAATGTATCCTCCAAATTTAATAGAAGACAGCTGAACTTTTTTTTATGAAATTTCATTAATTTCATTCAAATCTCTCTTAACTGACTCAAGATATTGCCTGTGTTTGCCATATAATACTCAAATTTTCTCAACCAACTTGACAATCAAGAAAATTTCAAAAATTTAGTTTAAAAATTCTTCACTCTTTGATGACATTCGGCTATTTAGGCAATTATAATTCTATTTATATCTTAATTTGATAAATTTCGAAAAATTGATCGAATACTTTCAAAGGACTTAAACTTCTGGCTCGATTATTCATTGTCTTTCTTCTCTCTAATGATCTTGAGGCGACTCTGGGATATAAAGGAATTGGCTTTCTTCCTATCAAATCGTCTTCAATCTGCATTGTAATAATTAAAATTCTCTATTCATTAAAACTCTCGATAGAACAAACTATTTACTGAATCATCCATAAACATTCATCAAAAACATATACTGTAGAGAATTCAAAATAATAATTCTGTCAATTACAGTTCATGTATTTGTTTACATAAAATTTAATAAGAAGTCATACCTTTCTAACAACAAATGGAGGTCTATTCATTAGAGAGCTCGATGCTTGATTCAAATTGTTCATGTTTTCGTCTTCAACAAAATCTTGAAATTATTTTCGTTGTGTAAAAGTCAGTCAGTAAAGCAAAAACTCTTTATGCAAACCCGATTTTAAAGCCGATGAAAGAGTAGATTTACAATACGTTTTACGAGGACTAGCAGACCTAAAATATTCAGTAATATCATCAATGTTTTTTCAGTTTAAAATATTTAATAGGATCATCAACATTTTTTTTTATAAAAAATTTCACTTTTACAGAATAAAAAATCATTTTGATCATAATAAATTCTAAATAGTTCTAAAAGGATAGAAGTAAATTTGTGATGTCAACCTATATTTATAAAATAAAACATTTAAAGCATAAGAAATTTTTGATAATGTTGGACCAAATGGTAGTTACGTTCGACAGTATAATTAATGTGTGGCGCAAATGAAAGATAGGGATGTACCTGGACCTGGATCTTCTCTGAAACATTGTTGCAAGTTTCATGCCCATAAATATGGTTGAAAATTAATTTTAAAAATTATTATAATTAAAATAAGATATTATTATTCTTTATTAATACAATTTAGTAAGTCAAACCTGACTGGAAGAGAATATTTTTGATCTTTTTGCATCTAAATTGTCGTTGAGCACTGAGTATTCTCTGATAATTGTCTTGGTTGAGAATTCAAGTTTTGGGTTTATACCCTGATAATATCAATATGGAAAAAGAAATTTGCAGTAATCTCAAGTTATAAAAAAATGATGGAATGAACTCATAAAAGTGATCAATTTTCTAAATATCTATGGTTAACAAATAAACTAGATCAATTTAAATATAAAATGACCACTTAAACAATATGAAATCATAAAAGTTATTTAAAACATAAATTGCTCAGCAGGCACAAAACAAACGGGAAAGTTAAGGCCTCGTTCCATTAACAATTCTCTTCCACTCAATCCAAGTGATGTTGAAGAATATGGAGATGGAAACAAAAATGACTTTGCATTAGTTTCATACCATGCAAGTATCCTGTACTCATGGAACAAATTTGAAACTTGTAGCAATTCTATCCTTACTACTTCATCTAATAACAAAAAACAAAAAGTATTGATCATTTTATTTTTCAAACTAACGAAAGGATTTGTTGAACCTAAAAGTTGATCAGCCACTTGTGCAGGATCATAAGCAGTATAAAATACCTTTAACAAACAAAAACAAGGAACGTCAATTATAAACAAGGAGAGGCTTAAACATTGAAAATAATTTCAGAAAACCTTATCAAACTTAAGAAAATCATGGAAAAGCAATGGAAATATAGATCCGGTGAATCTTGTTTGTCTGATTTGTCCAAACATGGACACAGATACAAAGATATCTTCTCTTTGAATCAGCCATGTTCCTGGACTTGAAACCTTTAAAAGTAGCAGAGAAGTTACAACAAATTATTTTTTATTATGTTAGAAATTCATTTTAATTAAAAACAAAATCATAAGTTATATAATTAATTTTTAAGCTAGTTGTCCTTATAATCAATGTGTGCATACAGGAATATTGTTAAACATTGATATTATTGTAATTGAATTAAAATAAAAGTAATAATTAGATAAAAAATTAGATTAGAGAGTAAAGTAAAAGATCATGTTTTAAAATTTAAATTCTATTATAGGATAACAAGATATAAAATTGGTTATAACTGAACTGTAGTTGTACTATAACATAAAACATGATATAATTATAATATTAATCTCAGTAACAAATTAAATTAAAATGTGACATGATTTTTTTGTTTGTGCATATGTACACCATTAATAATTAATTTAATTAATAATTAATATTATATTTTATTTTCACTTTGTGTGTTATGTTATTTTAGTATTTTGAATGTTCTAGTCTAGAGAGTATATAATTATTACTTATATTTTGATTTTATCAGTTGAACAAAAAAATCAAATTCACCGTTTTAATTTGAAGTTCCACAAGGCATCTCAACGATTTATTCGACATTTTTCGAATTTAGAAGCTTGCAGAAAGAGGGATCTTTTGAAAGAATCAGCAATAATTGAATATCTCGTCACTATAGCAACTGGAATTTACATTTTTTAGCACTTAATTTTTGAAAAAAAAATTGGAAAAGAGGAAAAGGTAAAGAGGTTGGAAAAATATCGATAGACACGCAAAGAAATGGATCGATGACATTACTGAATGGACTGGTGTTAATATTCTGAATTCAATAAAACTGGCCAAAGATAGAATAGGTTTTTGGAAAGAAAAAAAAGAAATGTATAAAATATGCCTGGATGTACATCATCGACCGACCTCGACGGTCCCCTGATGGACAAAGGAGGATCATTGATGATGATAATGATAATTTTTGAAAACTTATGTCCTTAAATGATTAAAGCCTAGAGAGTTACATGTCAACTGTATTGTAAAAACAAAAAAATTATGTAACATGCTTATAATATATACAATTTGCGCATATATTTAAAATTATTATATTAATTACGTGGATATATATATAATAGATATAATAATCATGGATATATCCATGATTAATCACAATAACGCCATAACCAACATGTATGCAGATGCAGAATAATATGGCAATGCACTAACCATATATGTAGAATATGTAGAATCTACTTAAAAACTTCAATAAAATAATTACTATATGAATATTATAGAATTTTTTGTTAATTTAATTAATAAACTAAATAATGAATTACAATAGATTAATAGAAAAATTTAAATTAATAAATTACATTCTAGCGATAGAATTTAATAAAAATTGTTGTGTACGTAATGGCCTTATTTATACCTAATTATTATTTAAAGTATAATTAAATACAGGACTTCATTCATTGCTCTGCCACCTTCACAACTTATTTTGTTTTGTTGTGTCGTGTTGACGCACCTAGGCATTCGTTCTTAAGCTTTATTAAACAATCTTAATTAATCTTAAATAAATTTCGGATGAAATGTGTTTTCATTTTTTGTGATTGGCTTTTCTCATAGTTTGTTTTTGTTTTTTTTTCTTCAAATCATTAAATTAATAAATAAAGGATAAACCCAGGTTGTTAAATTAGTTATTTATAATTTATTTATATGAAATTTTACATTGTAAAATGTAAATAAATAATTGATTACCAGTTTATTAAAAAACTTTGTTTTATTTATATTATTATCATTATCAATGTTTAATAATCAAAAGTTTATAATATTTGCAATGCAAATATAAACTTCTGGTTAAACATTAAGATTAAAATTTAATATTAAAAAATCTTAGAGACTTAGAGTTGTTGCAGACGAGATTTCATTTTTTTAAAAAGTCAGTGAGTTTTTTTTTTACTTTTGAGATTCCATTTCTTTCACTCAATCACTCATTATTTCTTTATTATTAAGTTTATTTATTTACTTACTTGCAATTGCCGTTATAATTATATTATATCATAAATTATAATAATCAATTCTTGTTTATAAGTCTCTATCCTATCCGTTATGCTTTGGAACATAACTATTATACTAAATATTATAAATTATTATAATCATAATTAATAATTAATCTTAGTTTTAATTTAATAAAATATAAAATAGTTTATTTTATAATCATAAGATTAAGTATCATACATCATATCACATACAGATATTATTATTTAGTATAGTTTTTAATTTTATTCTTGATAAAATATAAAATTATAAATCAATCAATATCTATTGAATTTCGCTTTGAAACTGCTCTCATGTGTTTTTTAATTGTTTAAAAATAAAAAAAATAGTGAAATGAAAGTCTTATAAATAAATTAAATTTTAAATATAAATTGTATTATATTGAAAAACAATTAAACTTTTTGAAACTTGTTATTCTAATACTTTTTATTATTATTCTATTGATTCATATTATTATTCTATATCGATTGATTGATTGATTTATTATTATTCTTTTATTATTAAAAAATAAAAGTTGACTAAAGATATTTCTTTAATTTTTAATAGTTTATTAATTGATATTATGACAAATGTAATTATAATTTAGAAACAACATTTTGGATGACCATTCTTCAACAAATCACTTGAAATTTCTTTTGAAATTCAAAAATATGCCACTGCATAAAAGGTTAATTGAACCAGTAAATGTCAGTCGAAATGTTGTGGCTGAAGGCATACGCAACGAGTTGGATTGTGTCAGCAACAGTACTCTGTCACACATAATATTACAGCTCAGTTCACTGAGCAAGCTTTCAGAAGATATATTTTTAGAGTTACATGTGGAAACATGCAATATTTTTTTCAAGACTTGTCACATTTATAAACGAGTAGAATTACTAAAGCACAAGATTGTACAACTGAATCCAGTGGTTGAAGAAGGTTAAACAATAATTTTAATTTTTGATGAATTGTTCATGCCTACTTAATTAACAAGTTAAATGTTATTGTACATTTTACTCATGGAATTTCGGTTTGTGAAATGAACTGATGTGAATTGAACTGATGCACTTGAATTTTAAATGGACCTAGAAGCAAATGCCTCATTGTACAGTATCATTCACAATCAACATTCATCTGCCACTAAAAAATGAATAAAATACTTTGTATAAAATGTAATGAAAGTGTAATTATAAGAGCTTTACAAAAACAAGGCTGCTTTTGTAAAGCTCTTAAATGAGAAGATTTTGATTAATCTAAAATTTTGTGTTTTTTTTCTTTGTTATTGTGATATAATTTCAACAATAATTAAGTATTAATTTAATGAATGTTTAAAAAACTTTATCCATTTATCCAAGAAATCCATTTGTTTGCACTATAGCACTTTAGTGTTTTTTTTTAAGTTTTGAAAAAGCAAAACATGACTTGTAAAATATTTTACTTTTTTGTGACAAAAACTTCTTACAAACTTGCAAACATCAGTTTCGTTGCATGATATCAACCAACGACTGCCATTCAAAAGTGAGACACAAAAGGATCAAGAAGTAGTAACAATATCTACCAGGCCCAGGGCCATCAATGATGTCTATCAATGCATTGAACCTGCACCACCACTCCATCACCTGAATCAATTCAGGTTTCATTCATATTTTATATTTTATTCTCATTCTACTCCTATTGTAAATCGTATATAATGGATGGAAAATGTTTATAACAGAGATGACGGCAGGGACAGTATGACATTTTACACAGATCCGAGTTATTTCTTTGAACTGTGGAAATGTGAAATGGTGAAGGATGCTGAAAATCAGATGAAAAAGCAGCGTCATAAAGTTAAAAAAGTGACTTCATTTCAATAATTTCATTTCTCAATTAAACACATTTTTGGATGAATTCTTATTATATCATTCCATAAAAGTTTTTCTTCCAATTGGAATTTTACTCAAGTATTTCAGAGGTTGTAGAATATGCTCTTTCAATTTATACCTTAATAGCATAGACAAATTTTACTAAACACCACACCCGACCTTAACATTATTTAGTATTGATTATGTCATTGTGGAGTGAAGTTTCGACAAGCACTGACATATTTAATTTGGGAACCACACGTTTAATTTTATTTACACATTGTACTATGTGGATAAATACTTGGCAAAGCAAAAGTGACTGTTCCATGTATTTGTGGACTTGGAAAAGGCTTTTGACAGAGTGCCTTGTGAGGCAATCAGGTGGAGTCTACGTAGACAGCTTGTTCCAGAATATCTGGTTCGGCTGGTATGGGAACGTACTCTAACACAAAAACTTTGGTCAGCACAACAGTCGGGAACACGAATGAATTTGACATTAACGTCAGCGTCCATCAGGGATCAATACTCAGCCCCCTGCTCTTCATCATGGTGATGGAATAAATAACTAAACCAATACGCTCAGATAACACATGGAATGTGATATATGCAGACGATATCATCCTGACGGCGGCCTCGTAACAAGACGCAGCCAGAAAGTTTGAGATCTGGAACACCCAGCTCGCTGAACACGGGCTAAAGGTAAACCTTGACAAAACAAAAACTATGATCACCGGTAGTACCGCTGAGCCCGTGGTTTCTGGTCATTGGCCATGTTCGGTGTGTGGTGCTGGAGTTGGAAGCAACTCGATCAAATGCTTACGATGTCAGCAATGGTGTCACAGACGATGCTCGAGAATTACCGACTCAATGAGGAAAGTGACTGATTTCGTATGCTCCGACTGCATCAACCCACGACAACGGGGCCCAGATGATGATACGATTACCGAGAAACTGTTACTTCATTTCAGTATTTGGGATATGTTCTGGATTGTACTGGAACAGCAGATGCCTCCGTTCGTGGACGCATACGTGCGGCGTGGGGCAGATGGCACCTCCTTGCCTCGGTACTGATGCGGCCTCTTACGCTGCACTCAGAGCTACACAACACAGCTATACATTCTGTTCTAATGTAGGGTGCAGAGGCGTGGCCGATGACAACGAAACTCAAACAGACGATTCGTTAGATGCAGCCTGTTGACCTAAGGGACCATATCCATACAACCGAGATCCTGAACCAATCGAGACTGTGCACGTTGAAGGATGCATGTCGTCGTCATCGCTTACGATGGTTTAGCCATGTGAAGCGAAGCGAAAACGATACAATAATTTCCGTTACTGAGCACCAGGTGCCTGGCACCCACCATGAGGTCGCCCAAAGAAGTTCTGGACGCAAACCATACAGGAGGACATGGATAGATCGGCTTGGTGACAGAAGCTGATGATTGGAATAAAAAAGTCCGACTCGTAACGGATGGAAACTTTAAACGAGGAAGGATGGATAGATACTACTTGGATCTGGAACCTGGCAGACCCAAATCTGTATGAATCCAACATCTTGATCCCAATCCAGATACTGCAATTGTAAAATTCCGGAATTCATTCCATTTCTATTATTTGTGTAGTAATAGAAAATTGCAAAGTCAAAAACAAACTTATATGCAAAAGAGTATGTGTATAATCAAAAAAAACATAAACTTGAAAATGTTTAAAAATGTATTAATATCTTTGATTAGAAAGCTGGTATGAATGACAGAGTTGAAAGAAAAAATAAGCATTTTTATTCCTAATCAGCTTAATGAAATATAATAACTAAACAACTTTTATAAACTTGCAAGAGTAGGAATTAAAAAATTCAATTGGAAATAAATAAATCTCAATCAATACAGGCTTTTGTCATATATATTGCTAATTTATTCATATTATTAATTTAATGACTTCTGGAGTCCAATTAATTTCATAATATCAGAGACTTACAAATGAGAGCATTCAGTTTGGAACATTGAAGACAAATAAAAGTGAGCCTAGCAAAAACTTGAAATTTTCAAACGTGGCTGATCATAAAAATGAAGATGTATCTCGCAATGACAACTTCCCGAGTATCAAAGAGAGATATTTTAATAACGTGGTCAACATGGACCACTTGAATGATGACCATCAGAGGTTATGCTTTGGATAAATTCATTTTTATTAACAATGCTGTTTCTGTTTGACACTTTTTGAGAGTTTCGAAATTATCAAATTTTGCTTTCAATCACTCGCAATAAGTAACATACATTTTCAGAGAAATTTTTGTTGTAATTAGACTATTTCGGCAAATATTAAATAAAATCAGAAATTTGTTGTAGATATGCTGGACAAGAAGTTAATTACGATCAATACCTTCATGGAAACCAACTTACCATAGAAGAACAGTTCCAGTTGCAGCAACAGATGTTGTTAGGTCACGAGTACCAGCAACAGCAACAAATTAGCAGCTTGAATAACAAAGACTTTTCATTGTCAGAACATGTACGTTTCACATTTTTTATTGTTTCTATTTAATGTTTTTTTATACAAACATTTTCAAAGAACACTTTTTAGATATGTTTGCTCCTAAGTTACATTAACTTTTTATTTTTCAAAACATCTTGCATCGTATCATGTTTTTCTCAGTTTGTATTTATTTCTTATTTCCTAATACCTGCTTCTTATTTTTTCATTTTAATTTAATAATTCTGAAGTTTTTTAAATTTAAAATACTTTTTACAGCAAATGAAAGTTGATATTAAATGACAATGTCAACTATCATTTGTTAAAAAACTATTTAAAATTAAAAAGACTCACCTTATAATTTATGTAAATCTTGGGATTGGAAAATTTCAGAAAGCTTACTCCGACCATGAAACGAATCTTGAACCTACTATATAACAAATGTTTAAGCTTCGATGGATGTGATTTTTTTCTGTGTATACATGAGTGGAAATGTATAATTAAATGCATAGTTGTATGAATTCTACTGGTAAAACTCGTACAATACTGAATAAAATATGGTCTCATTGCAACACTTAAATGCATAAGTAACTAAGCTCATAGTACATAAAATTGTTTAAAAAGTGAAGCTTTGGAATAGAATGTGAATTTGTTACTAATCCTGTTTGTGTTTATACGGGTTGGAGAAAATGTTACATCAAGTATGAACTGAAAGTTTACAATTTATATAGGAGTTCCCTGAGGTACCATCCTTCTTAAACCATTCAAATGGTCATGTTTCAGTTGATGGTGTTGAACCTTACATTTCTAACATGGACATCAACTCTTCCACCCCATATGATAAACACCACACAAACAAAAGATGCTCAACTGATAACTTACCCCCTCCTCCCATTCCACCGCTACCCAGCTTGGACAAACTGCACATCAACTCTAACACCAGCACCACCATCAACAACAACAACAATTTGACTGTCAAATCTTCTTCACCCATACTGCCTTCATCTCCATTCAATGATTCCAGCTATCTACCATCACCTCCCAAGCAGCTTCCATTAGCTTCTTATGAAGTGTCAGATGCATATCGCAACAACAATATTGACGATCAAGGTAAAAGTATTAAAGTTGATGTTGAATGATTTCCTTGTGCTTGCTTTTCCTTAAATCTGATTTTTGAGTTAATTACCTATAATTGAAACATTTTCAATCCAGCCCTCATTTTCAATTTGTACCAAATCAACCCATAGAAGCCCAGAAATCAAATATTTTTGCTTTAACATATTTCTTCAGTTCACATTATTCCTTGTTCACATTATTTGCATAATAGTTCTACTATTCAATTTTTGAAATTTGTATATAGTTTTTATTTGGTTTAAAAGAAACTAATAATTAAAAAAAATGCCATTCAAAGGTTTCTATTTCTCAGCTGGTGTGGAGGATTTGTTATCAAGGATAGAGGGTGCGAGATCGTCTGTTAGTCCAAAATTTTATAACACAGCGCTACACAAAGATCTGCAACCTGCAGTTAAGCAGCAATTACATCAGAGCCCCTCAGGGGTCGGATCGCCAAATGCTAAAAAGACTCCAAATGCTACTCATCCTCACACTCCTACCATACATCTTTCACGTAACAGCAGCAGACGAAAAAGTTTGGAGAGGGTTTTAACTCCAATCACATCCAGTGCAGCTGTTGCCACTACTGCGAATGTGTCTACCGTTGTAAAATCAACAGCTGCCGACCAGTCGATTTCTAACAGTAACAACAGTAGTTATAATAACACTTCCAATACAAGCAGCTTGCATTATCAACACAGTATCGTCAGAGATTCCAGATCAGATTTGCTGTCTGCCATAAAGAAAGGTTTGAAAGTTATTTGTTTATTAAAATTACTTTCATGTTCTTTCAATCAATCTTCGTTTTGCGTCCAGAGATCCGGTTTCCCCAGGTAGGACGTTGTTTTCTTTGCCATCAACTTTTTGCGCCAAATTAGACGATCAGTTGTATCCATTTCATTTAAATTTAGAGCTTTCATGTCTTGCTCGATTGTTTGCGACCAAGACTTCTTTGGACGGCCTTTGGGACGTGTGCCAGGTACTTCAACATCTGCAAGAGAAGTTATGGCACTGTTTCCACTTCGTTTGACATGACCAAACCACCGCAGACGGTGTTGCCGGCATTCGTCCTTTATATCATCTAAACCAGCACGACGCAGGATTTTGGTAGATTTGATGTGGTCCTTCAGACTAATTCGTTGCATCCATCGGAGCATTTTCATGTCGGTTCGTTGAAGTTGTTGTTCCAGTTTGGTTGTCATTGGCCATGTTTCTGCACCATATAACAACACCGGACGTATCACAGATTTATAAAGTCTTGATCGTAGTGGTAGTGGGATGTCACGCCGCATCAATATAGAGGCAAGGAGATGCCATTTATTCCAGGCTGCACGTATGCGTGCTCGAACGGCAGCTTCAGTCTTTAAGTTGCTTTCATTCTGATTACTTATCTCTGATTGTACTTATCTGATTACCTATCTCTTTCATTCTGATTACTTATCTCTAAATCAATTATTTGCTTTTATTTGATTTTTCAATTGTTTAGCGATTGAACTGTCAGGAAAAAAAGGTTATACGCCTGCAGGCACAAAGAAAAATCTTCGTATGAAATGCACATCGTAAGGAAGCAAAACATTGGTGGTTTCAGCTGACATTTTTAAAAAGTTGAAGTTTGAAATGTGGCTTCATAGAGAAATTCATGCTGTGACCTTAAGAGAGATTGGAGCTGAGAGGAGATAGGTTTAGATGGTTGAACCAGAAATGCTTAACTGGAGAGACTTTATATTAAGATGAAGTGCACTAAAAAGAAAACCCTCAAGAGCAATTGGTCACTTAATGAAATCTGTAAGCTGTATGTTATTGCACATTTGTCAATTGCTTTCATTTGCATTCACTTGGCAGGCTGAAATTTTAAATTGCACCTTTATTCATCTTTCTGTACATTCAACTCGGACAGCCACTACACAAATTTCAAATTTTGTTTTTTCCTGTAACTTTTCAGTAAGAAATTTTTAAGAATCTATCTGCTTAGCTAGCAAGCCCACCAGCTGGTAATGTTACGTCGGTGTTTGGGAGCATATTACAAATTATCTTTTTAATGTTTAATGTTAAAAAAATTCATAACAAAACAGAAAGTTACTTACAAATTTGTTTTTACCAAGTGTTGAAAGCAACATTATTTGGTTAATGGTTAATTCAGCTTATCAAAAAAGCCCAAACAAATAATTTTGTGTGTCTTTACTAAAAATTGTTAAATTGAAGTTTTTATTGCTGGTGTTTATGCAACATTAAATTTTACAATGTAACAAAACATTGTAACAAGACAATATAACTAAATATTGCAATTGCAGGTATCCAGTTACGGAAAGTGGAGGAACGTCGATTGAAGACACAGCAGAGTGTTAAACGACGACTTGACGTTCAGTCAATCATGGAGGCTGCATTTGAATTAAGGAGGAAGGTTATGGAAGAGAATGAAGGTGATGATGAAAACGATGAAGACAATGCTGGATGGAGTGATGATGAATAAAGGAAATTACAAATGAAGTTGTTAAGTGCATTTCTTAGTCTGTTGTCCAAAAAATTCAATTTTTTTCAAAATTCAATTATTTTAAATAAAAATTTGTAGATATACTTAAGACAGATGAGTATTATGTATTTAATATGCATCATCTCCCTATTTGGAAAAATCACGTCGGCAGTAGCAATGCATATCAGATTCTTCATTTTCGTAAAAAATCCGATTATGGTTTGTCAGTGGTTAGATATTGATATATGAGCTAGATATTAGTCAGAGAGAAAAGTTACTTCATTTTTATTGTGTTGTAGAATTATTTCAATTTTAATTGAATTTTCATGGATTAAAATCACGTTTGTTGTGCTTTCAACATTTTAAAATGTCCATGTAGAATTTTAGCAATATACAACAGTTTATTGACCACTTGCTTCAAATATGATTTTTTGTAAATCTTATGTATATAATCCTGCCGACATTCTACTTTAAAAATATAAGTGGTAATTAAGTGGATTTATCTTATTTAATTGAATCTGTGTTGATTTTTATTACGTTCTATTCACCCTTACATCTTTGCGTAATTGCGTGGCTTATGATGTGATTTTTTGCAAATTAAAGTTTAGTGATAACAACGTTCAATTAATTGGGAATTTTTCATTCATCTATCGGTTTTTATATTTTAAAATACATATGATAATTTTCACACGTTATTTTACGAATTTATTTAATATCTTGATATGCCTTAATTGAAAAGCAGTCAAATTATTTCGACTCGTCTGTTTTTCACTTCTCAAAGCATTGCAACTAATACTACATCACAAGCTGCAATAATACATTATTGTAACCATTATTGGTATAATAATAGCAACTGATTACGCATTATATCTTGATATGTAGGGCTACTGATTTATGCACTGGTTTCATTTTATAATATTTAAATTCTCATGGTTTCTAAACCTAGATTTTATAAAGCATTTAAAACGTTTTCTCCAAGTGTTATATTTTAAAATGAGGTTATATTTTAAAATGAGGTTATATTTTAAAATGAGGTCCATGTAGAATTTTAGCAGTTATTGAAAGTGATTGCGCACGAAAATGATGTTGAGTTTTATTCTACAAATCTACACCAAATCACAAAATAAAATCATTTAGGTCTATATTTCGTTCAGCGCCATTAAACTTCGTTGTTTTGCCAGCGCCTAATTCCATTCGTTTATTTTGTCAATATAACAATTTTTGCACGAGACATTTTTTACATTTGTTTGTTATAATTACTCTAGTTATTCATTATTCTACATAGCAGCTCACTAAACCACTGCCCACTTGTTTTGGTTATCTAGCTGTCAGTAAGTAAAAAATTCAATTTGAGTTTTATCGTTTCGAGTTAGATACGTAATTTTTAACCCGAGTTTTTATATTGTGCCTTCAATGAACAATCTCATTGGGTGTTAATCTTGTAAAAATGATTGATCTACGGTGCTTAAATTACCCGAATTATATTAATTTTCGCTACCTCTTGTTAGTTCTCCAGTTTTATCAATTTTACCATATTGCCATTATTAATAGGAATTTAGTTATTTGCGCATTAGCTATATTTTCTATTTAATAAACTTTTTCAACAAAAACGACATTCTTAGTTTGCCGAAGAATAAATACAAACGATAACCATTTTAAATCCTTGTGGTCTATCGAAAAAGCGACGACGTTCGTTACCGCATTATTATATGACGCTCGAGTTTGTATGCAAACGAAAATTTCCCTGTTCAAATTCTAGAGCGCATATTTTTCCAGTTAAGACATCAGAAACCATCACACGATGTTGTTAAGTAAATGATTTGAGTATATCCATTCTCTCGGTGTTTAAAAAATATATTCCTATATTTGGCAGGCTTTTTTCTATGTTGATCGATCGGTGACTATTTTTTCCAAGCTGACTAATTTGATGTCACATTTTCCAGCGCGCTCTATGCAGTCCAGTGGAGGATTTATGGGGATCCTCTTTATCAACAGTAAACAAATATTTTATGTTTTTAGAAATTTTACCAACATATATTGTTTTTATCGTTTTGTACATTAAAAGACATCCTTTTATATACAAAAACAGTTTTAAATGGATAAATTGACAAAAAATTGTGTGATGGGCTAAAAAGGTCAAGTCGCCAAGTATTCCCAGTTTTTGGCCGTCCCCGTCAAAGTTGTCTAGATCTGCCCGTGATACTGTCTATGAAACGATTTTTAGGCCACCAGTTGATCAACGACGCCCCCAAAAATTGGGTGAAAAGCAATTTAGACGGAAATTGGTTTTTTGACACATGAATAATTTGCTCTAACCACTGCAACTGTGCAGATGTTATTGAATCAGCTCGTTTAAGCATTATTCAATCTTTTTATTGCAAGGCTTTAAATACTTTAATATGTCGGCCTTCAGTGCTCCAAGCTTGAAAAAAGTAGACAGCCATTATATAAAAATATTTTTGTGTATATACTTGGGTTAGTTTATCGAAGGCAGTCTAGGCTGCAATTGTCTCTAGGTATACTTTCAAGGTAAGTAAACTCACGTATTTCATTAAGAGGATTCCATTGGTGATCCTTTTGTGATGAGAGCAGATCTCCTCTTTTTGTCGTTGGTATGCAATTTCCACTGAATTTAATCCATTTTGTAGGTCAGAAATGCTATGACCAGAAATATTTATATGTTTTCAATTCATTTTGTGAACATAATACTAATTTTATGGTTTTAACATTGCCATCCGTTTTTCCCAGACTTATGATGGAGAACATGTTTAAAAAATGCGTTATATATTTTCAAATAGTTTAATTTGATCACGCTGCTGTGTGTTATTTAAAATGGCTGACAAACTGGACCGAGCGTCGAAGCAAACGCAAACTGATGATAGTTCTTATTCAAAACTTCTTTTAGAAGGAATTAAACCTTGCATTATATTTTGACGGAATTTATAGAGGTTCCATTTTTTTATTTAATGAAATTAAAAATTTAAAAAGAAAAACTCAAAACCTGAATTTAATAAAAATACCACGTTTTCAACAGACCTGGGTTTTGTTTTAATTAGCATGACAATTTTCTGCTAATACGTGATGGCTGAGGCAAGTGTCTGCGACAAATCTACTGTTTATGAAACAATCTCCAAAGAACGCTCAAGCATTTTTGGAAATAACGTAAAACCAACTTTGTGTTTACTTTAGTATGTATTCGAGTTAAAAACAAATTGCATCTACAATAACTGAAAATAGTATAATATAAATCTATCGAACTGCAAGATTTGAAAACAGATATAGTTGTTCACTGTCCAACCCACAGATCAACCTGTTATGTGATACATCCAATGTGTTGATTGGGAACATATTATCTGATGAATAAATAAAAGAGCAAATAATAATAATGTGTATGATTATTTATTTAATCACTACTATTACTGACAAGTTATGTAATTTATTAATAAACATGACAGAATAAAATATGACATTAATGTAATTTGTGCACCAACTACAAAATAATTTTTGATGACAAAAAAAGGTTGAAAATTATTACATAATTTAACCTCCAAGTTAAAATTTTATCTATCAAACTATATACCAATTTTAGTCGTTTCAACGTTCACTTCATAATTACTACTTTAAAATTTAAGGAGTTAATTGTGGCAGTGTAACGACTTGGTTTATATACAAAAAAATTCAATGGTCATTCGTTTATACGTTTGCGTATAAATCTATGAACAAGTCTTGTTATTGTATATACACAAAATGTTCATTTCATTTGGATCATTTCATAAATGTGACTCTCTCAATTTTTGAGATTAAGTAGAAGACATTGACAACACTCGATTAATGATCACAAAATTTCTATTCCTTGCAATTCTTTTTTGCTCCGTTTTACTATTTTACAACAGACCATTTACGTGGCCTCAAAGGTATCAAACTACAGAATCATTCATCATCTCACATAGGTATGGAGCTCCTTCGTGGTATGGCTTCGCTAAACAACAAAAATTTCAACCACAATCTTTAATCGAAACCTATTAATTCGCCTCAACCATCTACCTTCAACCATATCTTCACCATTTAACTCAAATTTAACTTCACACTTGATTCCAGATAATTAAAAAAAATTGAAACTGAAACTAATCACTCGTCCAGTCTTTACTACCACAGATCAAAACTACCAACCACAACCTGAGGGAGAAGAATGCTCGCACGCAACTAAAAAAAGGCACATTGACAGATGTACAGGAGCGGGAAGTAGGATGTCGGACAGCCAGCTGGTATCACTGGGAAGGGCAGTTCCGTACTGCGGGGGTAATACGCCAGAAAAAGCCGTCAACGGTTCCTTCAGAGGAATTGCGGAAAGTGTGGGCTCGGGTTTTCCTCTTGAAAACTGTGCAGAGGAACCTGCAAAGCGGAAAAATCGAGCGAGCAAAGTCAGATAAGGGGCAGACCAATTTGTGGTCTTTGAACTCCCGTACGAGAGAAATCAACCGGAGCAGGACCGGAAGTTTGAGCCAGGCCAGCGGAAGCGAGAGTCGACAAGCCGAAGTGACTGCAAAGCCCAACAAGAAAAATCACAAATGATAGTGCCACCGTCAAAGAGTTCGCCGGCGGAAGTAGACTGGCTAGCTTGGAGACGGAAGGCCCAGGTGACGAACACTGCCCTACCGTTTGACCATTCCTGGTAGACTTGATCCTGGATGGCCAGCTCGAAGGGGGTCAGACTCTCATTCCGATTGATCAGCCATATTCAGCTATCAGTACCCAGGAGTGGGCGATAGAAAATGGTAAGTTACCTACTGAGACAGAGACACCGAAATCGAAAAAGAAAGAAAGAAGAAAGCCACATACATGTAGACGGGGCCCGGAGGTCGAAAGAATGATCATCAACATCCCGGACTGCAATAATGATTTGTAAAGACAAACATCGGAGCGACGTTCGATGGAGTGAGAGATGTTGTGAGGTTTTCTTGGCACACATATTGGTAGAATGTTGTGTGTATGTTAATTTTCATGGCGCGCATGTTGTTAGAATGTTGCATGAATCGATCATGTGTGCACGTTGGTATGGTAGAATGCTGAACGATTTGGTCATCTGTACATGTTGGTATGGTTTTGTACGAATGCAGGTGGATTGTGACTATATATATCGTCAGTATGCTTGGTTTGGTATATAGGAGTGTGTGAAAATAAAATAAGTTATATTCGTTTTATTTTTAGTGCGCTCCTTAATTGGCTTCTAGTTATATTCTCGATTTTTCAAATTGGTTCTGGTTTTTTTCTGCGTGATTTTTGGTTAGTTGACGTGGTTTCGTTTCTGCTTAGTGTTATTGTTTTATCGGTTTTGTTTCAAGTAATGAAATTGGTTATTTACTCTGTTCAGAACATTCGATATTATTTATTATTTAGTCTAATCGTTAAAATTGTTTTAGTCAAAAACATTTGGAAATCCTAATTTATTTTGAAGGAAATTTTTAGTATTTCATTTTCTTCTAATAAACGTGTTTAAATTAGTTTCTCTTTCTCTTTGACTTCTCTAAAACATGACAAATATGCAAGAAGACTTGTCAAAGGTTAGCAAGGCCGAATCAACCAACTGGCAAACAGAACGTCTAAGATGCGAACTTGATTGACGCAGGCTTCAGAAATTGGTTAGATTTCTAACAATATCGAAGATAAGCTGAACTGGCCGCATGAAAAAATAAAATAAAATAGATCGCTCAGGCATCTTGAGACCAAACAAACATAGAAAAAACTTCTACTGTTTAGCACAGATGAAAGCAAACTTTGTTAATGTAAAAGGTTAAGCAAACTGTCATTAGATGCATTGTATTCAGTATTCAACAACAATAACAACACACGTTTAGACGACATTTTCCCCGAAATCGGGGGTTGCCGTTTGGCTACCTATGATGAAACCTGAAATACCCCTTTTGTCATCATAAATATTTTAATGGCTAATTTTTACGCAGGATGTCCTTCCTTACGCAACCACAGTTATAAGCGGTGGGCCTAGCCTTTGATGATCCAACATCACTCACAAGGCAGTGAGGGTCAGTTTAATGTCATAACCAGGACAAATTGTATTCAGTATTAACAACAAAAATAAACAAACCAGGAAGCAAATTGCTGACGATTTTTCTGCTTGATTTTTCACCATCCAACAGCCAAGATGAAATATTGGAGATGTTATTTCCTGCAAACTCTAGATTGAAAAAAAATGTTAACCCATTATTAGTCATCAACATTATCATTCTATTCAATTGATTGTCATCAACATTAATTATTTCAATTAATAATCCTCAACAGTAAGGTTTAAATGTATAGCTCCAGCATGAAATAAAAACCTGAACCTGTATATGCATTTTCGATCATGCGTTTAACAGCAATACTTTTTCAAATGCAATAAATTTTTCAAGTACTTAATGACTACAATAACTTATTCTACTACTTTGGACATCATGTTTAAAATACCATTTGTGCTGTCCATCATTGTTTTTGTTAGTATAAATATATTTATCTTTACAAATACACATAGAAAGTGAAGCAGTATATTTTATTCAATTTTGTATAACATTCTCCACAAAAAATTAATATATTAACACAACTTGAAATTTTCTTTTTTGAGAAGACAAACAATCAATGTTATTCACATCTAAATTTTGGAGCCTGTTGTTGAATGCCCGTCAATATATTTTTACATACCCATTCTGGGTCTGTGGATTCAAGTGAAAACAGTTGGATAAAATAATTCGAAATTTGTTGACTGCAGTGTGAGCCCAAACACAAACTAAACTATAATATTGTTGTAACCCTTGATGCTCGTAACTACCAACACCTAACCAACACTAGTGTGTAGCTTCCAACGATCGTCAAGTGTTCGTTATTGCATAGGTTCAAGATTTGCGATAGATAAACACAACTGTTTGAAACACAAACTTTGTTGAACGTTTATTTGGATACCAACAGCAATAGAAACAATAAACTAACCCAAGTAGCTACCTTAATCACATACGACTTCGCTTTCTCTGCCGGAAACCTCGCTAGAAACCTGACTATGCAAGACCCAAATATAGTCTAGATTTTTAGCATGGATACAATATTTCTACATAATCCTCTATAGTTTTCAATCCAATGATTACAAATATGGCACAGGTAACAATAATTGGGATAACAAATAATATAATGCAATTTGATCATTCCCACAGTAATAACAATATCATATACGTTCATAAAAGCGTTTTACAAATCTTAGTAATATTTTCTCTTAACATTTTTCGTCAATAAAGAATAACTTAATACCTTTAAAATAGTTATCAAGATGGAATGAATTAGGAGATTCGCATGACTGCCAGTGCCACAAAGTACCATCCTGAGAACATGTGAACAAGTTGTTTGGCATCTGAGGATGAAATTTCACATCTAACACTGGAGATGAAATGTTTTGCTATTAATAAAAAAGTTCCAATTTGTTTTGCTTAAAAATTAGTTAAATAATTTACTAATGAGCTTGTGCATTCAACTTATTTTTTAATTTACGATTCAGTTTCCTTTAAACTTTAATCTAAATATTAACTGTTTGCAGAATGTCCTTTGTGGATAGCAATGGGTGCACCATCTGACCTGAGGTCCCAGACAAACAGCTGACCATCACTGCCTCCAGCACACACAATATGTGGTTGAGATGGATGTTGGTCCATGCACAGCAACGACATTAAATTTCCTGTGCTGTTTAACAACAAATATTACAAAATTTAAGTCCTGTTGATTATTTATATTATTGTCCTTTTGGGCCAGACTCAATTCAATCAAAAAAAGATATAGTAGATGGTTGCATTGCTTAAAGCATCATCAATATTAAAAAAATGAAGTAAATCAAAATAAGAACTGAATAGAAAGCATTTGTTAACGGTAACGCTAAGTAAAAGAAAAATAAAAGAACAAAAAGTAATAAATAGGAATAATGTATAACTGAATGATGACAAGTTTGTAAGGATTTTATAACTCATATCTTCATCATTAAGTAAATGTATAGAAACCATGTCATGCAACAAAATCAGTTCAATGGTCATAAATGAAGAATGTTCAATGACTCACACTGCAAACTTCTTTGAACTTGATTTGTTGCAGCTTCTGATGTCATACAAATTTAAATGGCCTACCAGGTTGATAGTTCCCACTGTACTTTGATCCACGAAACTGATGCCATTTATCGTTACATTATCTACAGCTAGTTTTAAAAAGTTTTCATTTAAACATTTAAACATTTAATTCCTCTCTCAGAAGAATGACAAAAAGTTAATAATAATAATAATAATTGGGGCTGTATCCAAATTTAGGTTCGACCAAACTATGACTACTTTTTCAAATCAGGTTCCAGTCAAAATTTACGGATTACAGTTTCTAAGTTTGAATGTATATGGATTTATGTGTCTACGCTATTGTGCATGTTTGCATATACACATATATTTACGTGAATACGCATTGCATATTTATTTTATTTGTTTACGTTTACATAATTTGTATTAAATAACATTTATTTCATCAATGATAGCAGAGTGTTGGAGTCAGATAAAAAATATCCGACTTCAACTCCTTCAAAAGTTCCGACTCCAAGTAAAAATTTCTGACCCCGACTCCTGTCTACGACTCCAGGTTCCAAATTCCAAAAAAATTTTTTAACTTTTGCATCATAGCTTCACCTTATTATCACTAGTAAATAGAAAATACTTTAAAAAACACTTAAAATCAGTGAATGTAATTGTTTTTTCTGTATTAAAGATAATTGCTATACACATTTGTGTTCAAAAAACACCATCTTAACAAAAACTTCAAAAAAAAAAAAAATAATTTAAAAAAAATTAAAACATTTTCCGGAGTCTGAGTCGGACGCAAAAACTAAACTCAATCAGATGCAACTATAGTTTCCTACACATATTACTCAACTTACCATAAAAATGCTAATTTATGCAAGAGGATTTATTTATCAAAAAACTATTTCACGTAAAAAAGAATATTCATTTTGAAGTTGAAAAAAAAAAAATGCAAAAATATACCAATCCTAGTGACAGCATTTTGAGTGCCAGCATTTTTAATAGCATTGATACAGCCATCTTCTCCTGCAGAGGCAATAATTGAACTATCCTCATTAAAACACACACTTGTGCACGGACAGCCAACCTTCCCAGCATAGTAATGTACTTTGCTGTATGTGTGTTTCAAATCTAGTTTCTGAAACGTTGAAATTGCATTTGGAAAGTTAAGTTACTTGACATTATTTGAATTGCACAAAACAAAATAACTTGACAACAAAAATACTTGGTAATCTTCATTAAAATGTAGAATATTGATATCCCCATTGGAGGACGATGATAAAATTGAGGTTTCATTCATAAACTGTTGAATGGATGTTTAATAACATTACACATCTTCTTATCATAAATTTCATTTGAGTTTCATACACTTTTTATAAATAAAAATAACATGAACTAACTGTTAAATCTGTAACACCTCCAGTTAAGTCTGCTGAAGACAACATTTGAGGTTCTAAATCAAATGCTTCATCTTTGCTTTCGTAACTTTGAGCTTCATTTGGAACGAGCCACACTGCAATTGGATTCCTTGACTAGTGTGTGTTTGATAAAACAGTGTACAAAGCAATTTTTAAACAACAAAAACTAAATATGTAATAAATACAACAAAATTATATATGAATTAAATATTATATACAATGTCACTTCCATAAATTTATCAACATCAGATAGAAAGAGAGAGAGGGGTAATGATTAAATAAAATTTATTTATATATATATATATATATATATATAAATTCATGTTTATATATATATATCCATGGGTATATATATAAATATTATATATATATATATATATATATATATATATGTATGTTGGTAATAGATCATAATTTTTACAATATTCTATAACATTCGGTAGAATTTATAGAATATTGTAAAAAATATATATATATATTATTGGTAATAGACCATAATTTTTACAGTATTCTATAAATTCTATCGAATGTTTGGCATCAATATGTTTGTAGTTCGTTTTTTCGATTTTTTCTCACTAAAGTTTTTCGGTGAACGTTTAGTTTATTAAAATTCAAAATAAACTTATTTTTCGAATTCATGCCGCAAATAAGGCAATATTTCGATTCCGAATGAATCATCACACCTTTTTGATGTTTATATAGGGGAATATAGACTTTGTCAAAATGAACTTAGATGGAAATTGACTTTGTCAAAATGAACTTAGATGGAAATTAGGTGTCAGGTTTCTTTATTGGCTGGTCATCTTCTTTGGTCTCCTTTTCTTCATCCATAGCATCATATTCTTCTTTGTCACTATTTACAATGCTAGTTTTTATTACTTCTTTGTTTTCATTGTTGGTTAAGCACTGGGTTGGAATTGAGATTGTCATTTTTTTGTATATATATATATATATATATATATTCACGTGTGTGCAAAGCAATGTATTAATTAAATATTTAGAATGAAAGTTTTCAACAAATTGTTCATTTAAATTTTAAATAAACATAACTACAACACCATTTAAAAACTAAATGAACCTAAATGTTAAAGTAAAATTGGATTAGTTGATTAGTGAGGATAGCCAATGGGAGAATATGTCAAGTAGGAATCGCACATGTTGATAATCCTCATGAACAACATGTCGGCACCTACATGATGTCTCATTTGCTTTGTGTGATTCATATTTCATCTGTCACAACTCACAGCAACAGATTTGTATTTGAACCACAAATTATCAAGACAATCATAATTATTTCATCTAACACAAAATAAAATATTAAAAAGTTAATACCAACCCAAAATTTATACTACCAAATAAATAGTAAATATCTAATCTAATAACATCATTTCAAACTTATAATTATTTCTTATTCAAAAAAATTGAATTTATAATACTTTATTATAGTTATGTAAAATAGCTTCTGAACGTTAGTTAACAAACGTTTGCTAGTTTGTCACATTATATATATATATATACATATATATATATATTAATTTAAAAATTATATAAAAAACCAACCAGTTCATCATAGCCACCAGTAACAAAAATATTTGGTTGTTCTTCTAAATGGCTACGTACCGGCTGCCATTTTATCTTAGAGATCTTACACGTTAAATATTTAGTTTGCACAGATTGAGCCATCAATGAAAAAGTGAAAAAGGCAGGACACGGTTACCCCACGCTTTTGAACCTTCCAGCTTATTTTATTTTAGCGGCATCAGCCGTCGGATTTAGTAAAGCTAGTAACGATTTACCATAACCTCAAAAACAAGACACCGATTTATTATCTTTTGCTTTTTGGTGTATATTTATTCTTAATATATGTTGTAAGTCATGCATAAGATGAAATCATATATATAGAGTATATATGGATAAAACATATAACAATACGGAAAAATATGGGAAAGTCAAAAAGATTCTAAGTCCATGGTCCGCATCCTTAATTTTTTTTTCCAACGAAATATTTTAACGGCACTGCAGCTCCCAAGATGGTGCCATAATGTGCCAGTAATTTTAATAATTTTTTTCCTAATTTTTGTTTTATTTTGTATTTTTTTTCTAATTTTTTAGTTCCTATTATTACATCTTCAGAATCAAACACAGCCGAAACGGAAAAATCCGATCAAACCATATCAACACATCAATCCAGAAAACAAATGATAATCTTTGACTTAAGTATACTTTAAGAGGTAATGTTGTAATAGTTTATTCCAGTCTTTTTAAGTTGACGGGTAACAGATTCAATAACTACACCATAAACCAGAAGCACTAGAAGTTGACGTAAGCACGAAGAGAGAAAACCCACCTACCGTTCGCCAGCCCCACAAACCAATGACCCTCACTCCAATGCATTCACTCTATAAAGTTTGACTATTTAAGTTCCTGGTATGGCGCTTGAGCTTCCACCATAGAGGCCACCTACAGATGGCATTTGACACAACTTTGAGAAGAATATAAAGATTAAGGTAAGTGTGGGCTGATTCTCTCCTAGCGGCACACGAGCTTCCACCATGATATTTAGTTTAGCCACAGTAGATTCTCGACGCACCTCGAAAAAAATGCAAAACTGCACAAATCCTCCTGAAGATATTAGAGTCTCCACCATGGTATTTAGCCATAGCAGATTCTCAATACACCCCGAGCGAATCGTTCTACAGATGTAAAAACACCATCCAAGGCGTTTGAGTCTCCACCATAGTATTTAGCCACAATAGATTCTTGACACAACCCGAGAGATTTTTGAGCCTCAATCATGAGAAATGTTTAAACCCCCTACAGCATCCGAGTCTTTACCGAAGTGGCTAACCACAGCAGATTCTCGACATACTTTCGGAGAAATGTATATCTACTCTTTGTCATATCTGAGCCATTAATACGAGGCATGTCCCAGTAAAAAACCTGACACGCCACGCAGGATGATTAAGATTTTCCTATTTATGTTGGCGAAACGCACAAGAATCCTTAATTAAAGTTACAGATATATTTACTTTATTTATATAGCTAAAAAATTGTTGTCTTATCGCTTGTCCATCCGGTTCCATGGATATCAAGCTTTGTAGTGATAGAAAACATTCTGTTCTCCAAAAATTTGTCCAAAAAATGTTTGAAATTGTTAACGGTGCTAGCTTTTATTACCCTTGCTGGTAGGCCATTTATTTTGCAACAGTGCCTCGAGTTATTGTAGAATGATTCCTTTCCAGATTAGGTATTACCTCGTTCAATTCCAAATATTTTAGCTTTTGTCATATGTATTTCTTTCTTGATTTATTTGATTTTCCCTTTTTTGATTGGTAATCCGACAGATTTGGCATACTCCAGATGGCTTCTTTCCATACTCTTGTACAACATAAAGAAAAAGTTCTCATCTAAGTATTTAAAAATTTTTTGATAAGCCCGAACATACGATAAGTTTTGTTGATTTTTTAAGGAATACACCCAAATCATTTATTGAAACTACATGCTCAAATTCCTCATATTTGTTGTCCAAATTCAGATAATTTGAGGGTCTCGTGTCCGTCTACTACTCCTACGACCTGGGTTCGAATCTTGCAGTTTCCGCAGATTCATCCAAGTAGCCGACCCCCTCGGCTAACCTCGTCGTCCATCTTTCCGAGGTCGGTAAACGGGGAGACGACGTAAGTTGTCGCTGTTTGGCCAGAAAGATGGCTCAGTGGTTCAAATGCGCGCTGCTCAACGGCTATCATATTCAGCGTATATGATCATATATGATGCGGTGCTTGCGCGTGCGCATAAAATACATGTGTACGTCGTGTGAAAAGAATAAACAGCTTTTATGGCGAAGATGGCTGCTTCAAATCAATGGATGAAGGTATGAAGAACATAATAAAAGATCGATAGATAATATATATGTAACATTGTAAGTGGCTCTGCGTATGTCAGAGCTGCAATAATAAAGACTAAAAAAATCTATTGTTTAACTCCGAGTTGCTACTATCTTGTACTTGTTACGACACAGATAATATCTGGGACACAAAAAATATATAATAAATAGATAAATAAACAACAAATAAACTTTGGCAAATGAGTGTATTTGAAGCATTATATTTTTCGTGTGCGCTATTTTTTGCTGTTTTGTGTTCACACTTTGTGGAACTTAAATTCGTATTTACTTTTAAAATGTGCTCATGTTTCTTACTTACTTTTATTTTATTAGACCTTAACTTGAAGCGGCACGCGTGCTTTTTCGTAATTCGTTAAATTAAAATGAATGTTGTTAAGTTATATGTCATTATGTATAATACAAATGCAAAATTGTAATAGCATTATTAAAAAACTAATACCCTTCTGTTTTGTTTGAATACTTTGAATTGAACGGAATGTTGAATTGAATCTCTAAGTCAAAACTTAATTAATTAAATTAATATTAATTACTAAAGCTAACCAAGCATTATTATTTAATATTTAGTTTCGTTAATTGAAATAAAATTATCATCGAATAAGATATTTTGATATATATAACAATAGTAAATTTAATTACAAAGGATAGAATAGCTATCAACATGACTAGACATTATTAGAGATGTGATACTTTTTAAATAAAAATAAAACAGCACCACACAAACAAAGAAGACTCACATTATTTATCATCACATACTATCTTACCATATAGTACAGTGTACACTTAGTTTTTCTCTACTTGATGTTAAATTGTTAAACAGTAAATCACGATCTAATAAAAATAAATTAGTAACCTGTGATTATAACGACAACACGTACACACAGTGTATGTAGTACATGCAGTATTACAAATTTAGTGATGTTAATTATTTTAAATTTAAAGCTTAATTATTGTTTTAAATTTAATACTAATAGTTCACTGGTGCTGGCTATTTCCAGAATATAGTTAATGTTTGCTAATTCAACTTGCTATGCTATTGTTTTCATCAGTTTCACTAAATTATAAATGTTGCATCATTAATTAAATTAAATTAATTGTGCTAGTTAACTGTTTTGGCTACTTGCTTGAAGACATGTTGGAAGACGAGTTGTACCTCAACTATTACAATGTAATAGAAAAGAAAAATAGTACTTGTTTTTTGGTGGAAACGTCTGCAGAATCATATTTGGTTTATTTTGTTGCCAGATTCTGCAAATACCCTCCAAATTGGATTAAATTTGTTAAAGTACCTTCAACAGGAGAAAAAAATGTTATAACATTGAACATTTCAGAATTATTCTTTGATTTCACCTTCATTGAAAAACATGAACTTGATAAAAATTTATTATCCTGTGTTTTGCCTTTTGCAGCTGACAAATTGTTTTCGTATATTAAATCTGGTATTTGCTGTCTCTTGAGATGCATTGTTTTGTCCCAAGGTTTAAATTTTGTTGAATTATTAGGTCCAACACGATGCTGTTTGAAGGCATGTTCTGAAGTGTCACAATGGACTTTGCTATGTGAACAATACATTCCTTCGTTTTTAAATGATTACATATCTAATAATTGTTCTGCTTCTGAGTTTTATCAAAAACTTGAAGGATATTTATCTCAGCCACCTAAGATCTACAAAGTTAAGCGTATTCAACGCAGTCTCATAATTAAAAATATTGATGTTAAAAAAACAGATTTGAGAAGGTACCACCCCTACATTGAAGGCATTAATTTCTCATTAACTGATATTGTGATTTATTCAACACTTGTTTTAATAATTAATAATAATCCTCACGAGATTGACATGATACAATTAAATTATCCCAAACTGGCAGAATATTTTTCAACACTACATTTTGACTGTGATTTAAACAAAGCTATGACATCAATTTTTAACAATGTTATAAGTTTTCCTAAGTATCAAATTCATCTATTGCCTGAGGGTCAGTGCGAAAGCAACAACAACAAAAATCAGAAAAGTTTAGAATATAATTTGTCATTGCATGATATATTGAGAAAATTTGAAACATTCAATGATTCTAAACTTTTTATTAATTTTAGCAGCTGTGATCTTTTTGTAGAAGAATGGTCAAAGATCTTTATTGACAATTCAGAATTTGATAAAATTAAACGTATGATGCCTCAACCAAGAATCGAAAGGAAAATTGACCAATTGAAAAATATGATCAGACCAGTATTGTATTTTTCCAAAAAAATTGAGTCTATAGTAGATTTTTGTGCTGGAAGTGGGCAGTTAGGAGTTTTGATTAATTGTATGCTTCCAAATCATAATATTATTTTAGTTGAAAACAAAGAAGAATCAATAATAAAAGCTAAACAATTGGCAATGAATCAAAAAAATATCACAATTCATCAAACCAATCTGGATCATTTTCAGCAGTCATTTGACTTGGGCATATGTTTACATGGTTGTGGTTTTGTAAGCGATTTCGTCCTTCAGAAGTGCATCAACCAAAGATCATTCTTCGTCATATGTCCGTGTTGTTATGGCTCTATCAAGGAAACTTCTAAGATTAAATACCCACAAAGTAAAATGCTGCAACAAGTATTTTCTCATAACGAATTCATAACAATAGCTCATTCTGCTGATCAAACCCAACAACATACTATAAAAGAAGAAATTGGAAAGACCTGCATGTCTATTGTTGATCTTGATAGATCTTTGAAAGCACAGGAAAACGATTACAAAACATTTGTTTATAAAATGCAACCTGAAAGTTGCTCACCAAAAAACAATTTGATTATTGGAATTCCATTGGAAAAATGTTGAAAGTTCATGTTTAGTATTTAAACTTCCTATTTATCTGATAGATATGAATTACTTACTGTTTGTTATTTAGGTAATTATAAAAATGAATAAAAACAGAAAACGGTTTTTAAAAATTCCTTTTCTCTTTGTGTAATTTATTTTGCTTTTCAAATACAGTCTGACCTCCTTTTAGCGAACTTCCAAACAACGAAAATCTTTTTATACGACTTTTTTTATGTCCCTTGGAATTTTGCGTATAAAACTGTTTCTATAGAACACAAATAATTTTTCTATAACGAATAAAGTTTATAAAAAAAATATCCGACCAGCAAACATTCTATGAATTGATATGAGCGGTGTTTTTGTACTCCTTTAATATCTTAAAACTATACTTGTTTCTTATTTTAGTAATTTTTGCGAATTCTATCTCGATTAATTTCAGTGGAATCGTCGGTTACATGGAACAAAGAATAGATTTTACTTTTGAAATTTTATTTTTACAATTATATCATGTATTATTACTTTCTGTTATCAAAATAAATGATTAAGAGGTGGCTATATAGCAACGAAATTTATATATAACGAATTATTTCCGGAACCATCGAATTCGTTATACAGAGGTCCGACTGTACAATTAAAGTAAAGGTAGACACAATGCTATCCGATTGGACCGCAATTTTTGTTTGACTTCTTTTTGTTACTTGATCAATTGGTTTTAATGTTGGCGGGGTGCAAGCACAATATTCAATGCATTGAAAGTTCATTTTTAGGATTTACCTACATTCTTCTACTTTAAGTCTTGTTATACTGTACCGGAGACGTAACATTGCAGCAACAACATTGTGCGTTAATTCGGTGATAGTTTTCAATAAAAATAAAATTTCTACCAAGATAAATAAGCTCATTGATCTCTGATAACGCTTTTCTGTTTATCGCATTTTACTCAGCTGTAATGGTAATGTCAATCATTTCCTGGGCAGTTACTTACTTTTATAACTAGTCCTACACGAAAAAAATTTTGACATCAAAATTTTCTATATTTTATATTTTCCGGGTTCAGCACTAGGAAGAAATTTCGCTTAAACACGTTTTCAGTAAGTGTAGATAATTTGATTTTCGAAATAAATGTAATGCGAAACGCGCTTGCATAGAAATTAATGAAGAATTCAAATCTATTTATTTAAGATTCCTTATACTCAGTTCTATTAAGATAGAATGAGTAGCAGTGCAAAAATTCAGAAATAGACATTGTTTCGGTTGTAAACTTAGGACCGAATGGAATCGGATTTTTCAATTGCTCAATAGATTCATTGATTTTTATTTATGTATTTTGCCTTTTATTTATTTCGAAAATCAAATTATCTACAATTACTGAAAACGTGTTTAAGCGAAAGTTTTTTCTCGTTCAAAGCGCATTAAAATTTACATGTGTTCCACAATTTCGGAGGAAACACTAAACTTTTTTGTAATTCTGTCAAGCAAGAAACAATTTCATTGAGCTGGACCTTATTGATTGGAGGAATAAATGTGCGTATAGAATTATGAAGCAACGTGAGTTGTCAATAACTTTTTCGTTGAACGACATAAATACGCAAAAGGTGTCAGTTACCCGATATAAAAATATATATACAATACTTTTAGGTGGCTCAATATGATTTTTGATAAATCCGTTTTTTATTTAATTTTCTGATTTACTGTGTATGTTTTAGTGACTGTATGTTTTAGTGACTGTATGTTTTAGTGACTGTATGTTTTAGTGACTGTATGTTTTAGTGACTGTATGTTTTAGTGACTGTATGTTTTAGTGACTGTATGTTTTAGTGACTGTATGTTTTAGTGACTGTATGTTTTAGTGACTGTATGTTTTAGTGACTGTATGTTTTAGTGACTGTATGTTTTAGTGACTGTATGTTTTAGTGACTGTATGTTTTAGTGACTGTATGTTTTAGTGACTGTATGTTTTAGTGACTGTATGTTTTAGTGACTGTATGTTTTAGTGACTGTATGTTTTAGTGACTGTATGTTTTAGTGACTGTATTAAATTAAGTTTATGCTTTTGTTTTTTCTAACAGATGCTGTTGAAGTCGGCTCTAAAATAGGTCTGATAGAAATGTAGTAGATAGTTTATGCTTGTGTATATGTGTGTGAAATTATACGGTGTGTATAAAAAACAACAATACTCCCTTTTTTTCTTACCGCATTTATCAATAATTTTTTTATTTTATAGTGTATGATTTTGCATATTTCATTTTCTGAATTTTAATAAAAATTTTAAAAATATCGGCTCAGTTACATTCAAGGCAATCAATTTCGTAGGCAGGATTATTTTCTGTGGGCTTTCGGCGTTCAGAATTTATTGAATTTTAGAGCAATTAGTTATTCAAAAGTTTAAACAGAGAGATAAACAATATGTATATAGGGCTTTCGGAAAATTTTTTCTTATAACAGATTGAACTCGAAGTGGCAGATCCTCATAAATGTTCCAATTGAAGACCAAGTTTATCAACAATTACCGTTGCACGGTATTGGCTTAGAAACATCATAAAATAAATGATAAAAAAATTTTTCTTAAAATTTGTATACCATTTTCATCATTATTCACATACCTTATACACATTGAAAGTTATTCAAATTGTCAGTCGTTTCATCAGCTTACATCTAAAAAAATTGTTTTTGTTCATCTTTTTCGATAATTTTTTACTGTATGAGATAACTAAACAAATCTATTATTTCATTCTGTATTCCAGCACTGGTATTAAAAGCGTGTGTATATATATATATATACATATATACAATGTGTTACATATATCATAAATGTAAATAATTTCGAGAGGTGCAGCCCCCCACCTTTAGCTACGGTTTTGAGGGTTATTATCCTACGATAAGCCATTAGGTTTCTTTAAGGTACCGCGCTTAATCGCTCATCAACGCATCCGAGTTAACGGTCCGTAAACTCAAGCCTTCAGTTACATTATAAGGTTGTACTGCCCGTTGTTGCTGTTGTCAAAAATCGGTAGATTGTTAAGCGATGATTGCTATTGAAGTTATTAGCCAAGCAGATACTTCTGTTTATTTGGTCCAAAGTTGATAAGTTGAAGTTCGGCCAATAGGCAGGCACGTAATTGATCTGATATAAGGCCCGTTAAATGTCCTTTTAGGGTGCCAGCGATCGGCCGTTAATGTTTTGCAGTGTGAGTCCTTAAAAAAGTCAAACTTCCGACTTGGAAAAACGACTCCTTAAAAATTTTGTGCTTTTTAATTTTAACAAAATAACAAACACAGTCACTAGTGTTTAATAAAATAAAAAATACTTCCTTAAGATCAATTTCTATCTTTTTAATTTTTCTCAGCACAACCTAATTTCATCAATTTTTCATCTTTCATTTTTCTGATATGTTGCAATTAGGGATTGTCCATAAAGGATGTCACACTTGATAGAGAGGATAATACCTGCGATGGTATTATCTTGTTTGGCACTTTTTCATCTTTATCATAAATGAATAAAAATTTTGATGAAAATGTTTATAAAAAAAGTTGGTTAGTGTTCTGTAAGCATCAATGAAATTTGCGTCTTTAATGATTTATTTTTTTTATCTTTTTCATTTCGTTCATAGAATTATCTGTTATATATGTGTTTGTTTGTATTCAACGTCACTAGATGTAGTTGGTTTTCATTTGTCAATCATTATAAGTGATATTGATAATTTTCAAAAAACTTTTTAAATTGTTTTCAACAAAATAGTAACTTTCAATCAGTGGGTGTCAAAAAATTAGGCTTGTTTTTTATTGAGAAACAATTGAAAATTTATGACAAGGTTAGGAAGTCAAAAAACGTATAAAGCGTGACATACTGTATGGGTACTCCCTAATATGACTAATTTATGGACAGTCCTTTTTTATTCTACATATATATTACAGCTCCTATTTAAGTTTACTTTTTTTACTCTATGCCTTCGTTTTATTTTTCCATTATTTCACGTATCACTTGGTTAATGATCATATTTTTCCAACCTATTTCCGTTATTTTTTTTTATAATATTTCATTTAAAAATCTTTCTTTTAATGCCTTCTGCTTTTTATGCCTATAATTCACAAGTGTACGGAAGTAAAAATGTCGTATAAAAAAATGACAGTTTCACATTATTTTCTCTTTTTTTTTCCATGTTATGTATGCCAAGCCAATTCATTCCAAGTTCCTTTTTTACTGAAATCCTTTATGTCCTGATGTTATTTAACTGATCAAGTAAACAACATTCTCCTTGCATACATTAATATACAAGTGTACGGCAGTGAAAACGTCATATAAAAAAAGACAGTTTCACATTATTTTCTCTTTTTTTCTTCCATGTTAGGTATGCCAAGCCAATTCATTCCATATTCCTTTTTTAAAGAAATCCTTTATGTCCTGATGTTATTTAACTGTTCAAGTAAAAACATTTTCCTCGCATACATTAATAGTATATATTCAATTTACTGGCACTCCCAACTTGTGTATTTTAATTAAATATGTAACTCCTTACGCTTGCTTTATGTTAAATAGTTTAGCCTCTTACTTTTTAATTATCTCTCCGCTGATAATATACAGGTCGGTCCTTTGGCTGAGTTGAGGTTCAGAATTTTTTTTCTAGGGAGGATGACTATTGCTTGTCAGTTTGTAAGAATTGTTTAATGTCGTGTTAATTGTGGTTTTATTTTACGGTCATATATCACATTTTGATTTTTTCATCTATTCCACTGTCACTTCTTGTGTCGTTCCAAGGTTTCGTTTCATTTTTTTTATCTTTTTTTCTAATTTATTTATTTTATTAAAATATTTATATTTATTATTTACGATCATTATTTATTATTTATAATGAATAATTATTAATAATATAATTAATAATATAAATTAATATTTTTCTGTTTTTTGGTGTAAGTAATTCTAGCTAATCGCCCACCATCATTGCTCAGATAAGATAATGATAAAGAAAGAGTTTAATAAAGATATAATAAATTAATATAATACAATTAGTTTTAATTTTAATTAAATTTTGAGTTTAGTCTTAAAGATGATAATAAAAAAAACTGATGGTGATGATGAACTAAAATGAAGGATAAAGAAAAAAAAGATAAACGGTTTAATTAATTAATTTAATTTTAAATTAAAATTAAATTTAACTGATCAAGTAAAAGTAAAATTTTAAATATTAAAATTTTTAATATAAAAAAGTAAAAGCCAGGCAAGGTTATGGTTATATATATACTTTTATTACTATTACTAAATTTTGAAGACATAATTATGATGTAGTTAAAAGCCTTTGGCTTAAAAGGTTATCGTTATGTTATACCACTATGTGCCTCCCCTCAATTTATTTACATTCCTAGCTTCTCCCATGTTACAACTAGTTATAAATTTGCATATAGAGATAGCATATATTATTTCTATGATATTGTACTTGTGGCTGTGATGAAAATTAGTACTGACATTAATGAAAAAATTAAGAATTCACAAAGACCAAAACAAAGATAACTGATTTTCTGATTCAACAAATATTATTTAATGAATGAATAAACTCAAAAAGAATAAGTTATTTTTATTTGTAGAGTGTTTAAAAGATTAAATGATACATGTAGCATTTTTTTTACTAAACTCAGATTATTCTAGCCTTGTCTCCTTATTTAAATGACCACCAATCAACAAGAGTATGCTGTAGTTATTTTTTAGTTTTACTGTTTTAAAATTGGATTAAAATCTGAATTAGTTTATAAAATATAGTTTGATAAATATATATATTTTTTAAAAATATATTATTAGTTAAACAAAGTAGTAAATAAGTAATTAACTAGGAAATTTTATTTTAGATAAACATTAGTTGCTATTTTAAAACAAAGAAAGTTTAACAAAACAGTAGGAATTTGTTATAAATTTTTCTAATTTTTAGTTCTAATGAATTTAATTCTTATTTGATGTAAATTTCAAATTAGAATGAATTAAAGAATAATTTTTTTCAGCATTTTGTTCAATTCGTAAAATTGACCATTTGCTATAAAAGTGAATTAATTTTTCAATATAGTAAGTTAATTTAAAAAAAATCTAATTTCTAAATGAAATGAGGTAGGAACAAATTTTTTCTTGAGGCTTATTGACTTCTATCACAGGATAACAAATTTTATAGGATCATTTTTTTTGTGCACACAAAATGTGAAATGCATTTGTTAGTATGAAATGTTTCTGTCTTATTTAATTTAAAAGTTATTACTAATTAAATTTGAATGTTAATTTTTTTAGATTTTATGCTAGCAAAATGGCCTCTCATACAAAGAAGAAGCGATCAGATTTTATATTTGGTATACTTATTGGGGAGGGATCTTTTTCTACGGTGAACATTTAAAAAAATTTTATTTCATTTGTTTGTTTATTTACTCATTTGTTTGTTTTTTTTTAATTTTTTGTTTGTTCATTTATCATTGGTTTATTTGTCTATTTGTACACTTTTAACAAATGGTTTTATGGTTTTATTATTGCAATAGTTGTTGAAGGTGGCAATCATTTTGAGAATTTATTTTTTCGGCATGTTTCACAGCAAAATATCCTTTAATATAAATAATAATTACTTTAATTAAGGTTTATCTAGCCAAAGAGATTAATACTAACAGAGAATGTGCAGGTAAAATTATTTTTTATTAATTCTTTTACAACATTAATTCTACCTGTATTACTAAATATAAACTTTCAGTCATCGCTCATAACTCTTGTTTTTCCATTAGTTTGCATTTCAAGATGTTTCAATAGAAATTATTTGAAATGGTGATATTGTGTCAACTATAATGATTCCTAAAACTTAATCTTTAAATTTTCATCGAACAGTGAAAGTTCTAGAAAAAAGTCACATATTGAAAGAGAAGAAAGAAAAATATGTTACCCGAGAGAAAGATATCTTGCTGAAAATTAATCATCCATTTTTCATTAAATTGTATTTCACATTTCAAGATGAAGGAAACCTATGTAAGTTTTTTTTTATTATAATGCATTTTTACTTGAGTTTACATCCATCAAACTGCAAGAAGGAATGTATATCCTATGTAAATCTATAATCCTCGTTTATAGTCTCCATCCATACTCAATTTTTTTTTAGATATTTAAAATTGAAAAAAATACCTCATAATGTGGAATGAAAAAGCGTTGTTCATATTAAAATTTGAATTCCACTGTTTTTTATTTGTGGTTGGATGGTTTTTTTGTGAGTTGAATTTTGGAGTTATTAAAACTTTTTGAATGATTTTTTAATTTCTTATCCTTTTATGCTTGCTCATGCCTGTGTATGTTTCTCCACGTTATGCCACTTCTACAGTGTATATTTGGCTGGAGTTCTGACTGCACTCTTATCATAGTAGTCTAATTAGATGTTTGTCATTGAAACATTTTTATTCTATGCAGTTTATAGGACTATGGAAAGCTTCTTTTACAGTTCATCCTTTAAAATGAGATCCAACAAGTTTTAAAACGTGTATTTGTGTGTTGATATATTCTGTAAAGGATGATTTTCAGGATATCTATTATCATTTGAACAACTATGTAGATAACAATTATGATATCATTTGTTATCTTTGCAGAACATTCAACACATTAAGCAAAAATTAAAACATTCAATTGCCATTTAAAATATGTATTTGAAACAAAATTTTAGAAATAATTTTTTATTTGAATTTTTTCAAAAAGATTTTGGATTAAGCTATGCAAGCAATGGACAATTGCTGGATTACATTAAAAAGTTGGGGAAATTTGATCTAGAAATTTCTAGATATTATTCTGCAGAAATAGTGCTAGCTCTAGAATATTTGCATTCAATTAATATTATACACAGGTTAGTTTGGTTTCACAATTTTTTTAAATTAATTATTTTGGAATTTTATGATTTTATTGTTTGGAATATTAAATCTGTAAACAGTTTTTAAAAACTGTCTCACTGCTTTGAAATGTCTTTTTCGCAATAAGAGATTTGAAGCCAGAAAACATCTTGATGAATGAGGGCATGCACATACAAATAACTGACTTTGGATCAGCCCGCATTCTTTCAGAGGAGGATTTGAAAGATATTGGTTTGTTGATTTGTTTTCTTGGATTTTTACTTTGAAAAAGAATGAGTTTAAAACGTTTGCTGGAAGTTAACTCATCAAAAATATTTTAGTGATATCTAATAAATAAATATTTTCAATATTTTTGGTTTTCATAAGCTTACTTAAAGATGCACTCAACCCCTTAAGAACTTAACCCCGTAAGAACTTAACTTCTGGCTACCACGCCTACTTCCTGGCCTTTATATGAGAACTCAATTTTTAATTGAACGGGGATGTTTTTCGCTATCAAAAGAAAGGTCGATTCAGATCACTGGTGCTTTCAAGTGACTTCTTTGTTTATCCAAACTTTTTGAGAAGTATGTAAACGTAGCACCAAATAAAACATCTGATCAATTTGGCATGCAACCATGATACAAATTTTGTAGATTTTAAAATTTTTAAAACTTGAATTAAAAAAACTAAATTAATGTTGATACTATAGAAGTTTAAAAGCCAAAACGATCACTTAATTATTTTATATGACTTAACTAAACAAAAAAATGTGCAACAAAATTGACGATACCAACCAGACAGCTCAACAGTCTAAAATACTGTACTTAAACATCCAACCATTGTGGCATGGTGTGCCCTGCACCACCCACTCATCTATCAACATTGCAACTGAGATGATGTGCTGTTAGACTGAGACTCCAATGTTCTCTTCTCGTGCAGTGTTTGAGTCTGCCGCTTCTTTGAATGGCAAGTCACCCTCCAGATGCCATGATGCTAGCAGACATTGAATTTGGATAAACCAGATTTTGAACAATGATTTTTGTGGCAACTTAGATGGAATAAAAAAATTACATAGAAAAATAAGTTATAATTTGTGACTTTTGCATTCAAAAGAGCGATACATTCATGATGTCATTTCAGATGAGTCTACGACCTCTGAAAAGAATTTGTCTGTTGAAGAAGAAACTGCTCATGCCCCAGCAACTGTGGAGCGATCATTCACAAGGAGACATTCATTTGTTGGGACAGCTCAATATGTATCACCCGAAGTCCTCAACAGTAACTTTTCATGTTTCAGGTACATTTGTTTCCCATTTAATAACCAAATTATTGATAATTGTGGTTAAAAAAACTGGAGTTGCAAATTATAAATTAGATAGTTTTTACATCTTATGCGTTCAAATTTCCTTTGAAGTGTTCGTTATTTTGATACCTTAGAAATCTTGATGCTGTCTTATTTTTGGATTAAAATATTTGAGAAGTGTTTTAAATGAAATTTTCATCTGATTTAATGAATCCAACATTTTTATTTTAATCCAAAATGTTCGTTAAACTTGTTTAGCTGGACAGCATTTTTTTGAACGAGTTTAATTTATCATTTGTCATCAATTCCTTAATTTTTTTTTCATAGAATCAGTTGTTAGCTATCATTTTTTTAGGCTTTACATTTGGCAAGACATAGTAATAAGAATCGTTTGTTTAATTAACTTCATGAAAGCAACAAAGTTACATCAAACTGACTGTAAAGATAATGCATTATTAAAGATGATGTAGAGTTATTTAGATTAAAAGATGAATAGGTTTGAGTATTTTAAAAACTACTGACAAAGCAAAATTTTTTTCAGTTTGTGGGATCGATTTACAATATTTTAACAAACCTCTTTCAGCATTTTGAACTTTTATGTGATTGGGGACCTGAAATATTTGCAATATTTCTCTTTAATATATTCTTATTTATTTATAATTTCAAAATTCGTTTTGATATTTAGTTGGCTATCAAAATTTTTTAGGTTAAACTCTTTTTTTTCAACTTCTTTTTTTACTTTGAAGTTGCATTACTTAAAACAAATATTAAACGTCTGAACTGTTTATAAATTCTAACAACGTAAAAAATATCCAACTTTTAATTTTAAATTAATTTAGAATCATTTCAATTTAGCTAATAAAATGAGTGAATGTGATAGTAATAATAATAATAATAAAAATAAAGAAAGCATAGACTTTATACATATATTAAGATTTGTATATGACTTATGTAATGCTTTTTTGCCTACCATAGATCTGTATGTAATTTTTTGATTTAACCAGTTCAGATTTGTGGGCGTTAGGTTGCATGGTGTATCAATTCCTCACTGGCCTCCATCCATTTACAGGACGGTTTGTAATGCTTCCTTCAACTTTCATATTACAGTTTTTCAGTTCAATTAATTATTGAACTCTCTCTGAAGCACGAATATTTTGATGGATGTTAACGAACAGTTGGCAAGTTATAATGTGATAAAAATGTTTAATTTAGTTTGCTCGCTTCCTTTCTGGTGAAAATGGAAGTATTTTAAATGGTTCTCTGTAATATTCATGTACAGTAAATTAGTAGATGTTATTCACTGAAATGTTGATCAGAACTATTGAATTTAAAGATCAATTTTTATTTAGAAGTTGTTGTAATAGTGTTCGTTCAACTGACTTTAGAAAATAAATGATTTGTTATAATTTTTGTTATGGCATTGATGACATCGATGTTTATTTCAATGACTGGCGTACATATTGTAATGTTCATTCAGTCACGAGTACGAGATATTTCAACGGATACTGAGACTGGAATACAAGATGCCCGATGATTTGGATGATTGCTCCAAAGATTTCATAGAAAAGATATTGGTTATTAGACATTTTTTCATACAAGTACAATAAACTTTCAGAACTCATTTGATGAAAATATTTCTGTAGGTTCTCGACAGAAAGAAAAGATTGGGTTGCAAGGAGATGGGTGGTTATAACTCACTGAAATCACATCCCTTCTTTGCAGATATAAAATGGGAAGAACTCGTAACTTGCACCCCACCCCTCCAACCTGGCAATCAGGGCAGCAGTTTTGAGAATGGCACGAAGGATTGTGAGGAGGATGAGTTCGCAAAGGTCAATCTTCATGTCTCAATTTTGTATTATTTCTATCTATATTTTACTTTGCTTAGAATGTTATATTAAGTATTTGTGCTTTGACATTGTTTGATCATTTTTCATCTTTAATATTATTTTCTTTCTTTGAGGACCATGATTATCATGTAACGGCAAATTCACACTGTTGATTAAAGTTTGCCATTTAATGTCGTCGTGTTAGTGCTGCAAGTCTCATTTTTGCGTGCCTTTCATAACGACATGTCGTGCAAATAAACGATAGATCACGTTTTAATATTAATCTTTTCTGACCATTTTCATCTTAATATTTAAAGTTTCAAATTAACAGGAAATAACCTATCGAAATAACATTCCTTATAAATTTATTGACGTCATAATCGTCGGAATTTTTTTGAGTCAAAGCGACTATACTGTGAAATGTTAAAATTTAATTGGCTTTGGTATGGTTTTATCAGCAATTAAAATGCCAGTGACAAAACTGCTGACGATAAAATTGCTGATCTGCATGACTAATAGATGAATTAATTTGATCATTTTTGTTGTGAAGGATGTGACTTACGTTATTTTATAATTATTTTATGATAGTTGTAATTCGTAATGTATGAGGTGTAATTTTTTTCAACAGCTTCTCTCAGGGAAGATCGAACCTCTGGAGATTAATGGATCTAATGATATGTGAGGTTTTTTGTTTGTTTTCAAGTTTCTCTTCGTAATACTGACTCGTCATAACAATTTTTGAAGATATTTCTCAAAAGTTATAAGACTGGATGAGTGGAATATATGACGTTTTGTGCAATTAACTGAGCTGCGATCATTTATTTAACAGCTTTCATTTCTCAGTTTAATTGAGATATTCGTGATCTCGTGTTGTTTCTAAGGTACTAGGTTGAATCTAACTTATTGTTTTGCACAGTATTTTAGATAATTTTGACTTCCTCAGTGATACGACCAGAGTGTCGATGATTTTTGAGGGGTCGTAGTTGGATATATTCCATCTAACTCCGAGAAGTCTTATGAATTTTTTTAATTTTTATTCTGAAAATATTTTTTAATGATTTTTAAAGAAATAAATGTATGCAGCGATACGAATCATCTTTAATGCTGAAAATAAATGCTAATGATGTGAATAAAATCACATAATTTGGTTCAGTATGTTGTAAAACATAAACATAAAGTAATTTTACTAACAAAAACAATTATATTAACTGATTGTAAGTATTATTTTATGGTAATAAATTAAATTAAATTATGATAAAAAGTTGAGAAATTTTTCTGGGAGTCGGAAATTTTTCTGGGTCGGAGTCAGATATTTTTCATCTTACTCTGACATTTCGGATAAAAGTGCCCCCAAAACAATGAAATTGTATTCAATTTGATACGCAGTGAAAAAGATGCACATCTTGAACGATTGAAAGAGCAGGAACGAACGAATGAATACCACAAGTTCGTTGACGGTCACCTCATCCTCAAGCAAGGACATCTCCTAAAAAGAAGGGTTTCCTACTTCTCCTCTTCTTTGTTTTTGTTAACTAGTTGCATTGAAATTTTTTCTATATATCGTAACGTGACCGTGAACTTAGTTTATTCACCAAGCTGTATGTTTATTATTTTTGGTATGGTAGTTTGGATTTGAACAAGATATTACATAGCTTCATGAATATCAGATAAACTAATCAGATTATATATATATATATATCATTATATCAAATAACAGATTTATGAACATCAGCAATTTTATGAGCTCTCGAAGCAGTAATACGTCTTTATAATGTTTTATTTTTCACCGCACTTACTAACTTTTTTACTCCAAAAAAGTCTGTAAACTGATAATTTCCACCTCAGTCTGCGTTTGTGCACACATGCATCATGTGTCAGTACATGTACACGTACAGCACATACATGTTGTATGTTAGTTCTAGAGGCGTTCATATTTATACTGTTCAAATCATTTTACTGCCAAGCCAGCACTCCCATCATCTTCTCCAATAATTTCTTGAACAAATAATAATAGGTTTTAAAAATATTATGCTATGTGAAACGAAGGCCTAGGTGATAGTAGGACTGGTAGGCTCTCCCTCCTCAACAATGAATATTTGAAATTTCTGATTATCTCACATTCAGTATTTATTCAACATTAATCTTTCATTGTATACTCCGAAGTATTTGAGTTGGCGGGCACGAACGAGAATGTTTCTGCTGACTGAAGGACCTCACCTCTACTACGTTGATGATGAGGCCAAGGAACTGAAAGGAGAAGTGCCGTGGTTAGTTTACTTTTCTTGTTTCATTTCAATTCATGTAGATGAACGTCTTTGTTGATGTGTCAATTTATCATTTTCATTTCTTCTTATATTGAAATACAGTCGGACTTCCGTATAGCGAACTTGATGGTTCCTGGAAATAAATTCGTTATATTAAAATTTCGTTATATAGAATTTGTCCGGGAAAAATTTTTATATTGCTTAAAAAGTGTTTGTATGCTATATGTTTATAAAAAAAACAACCTCTTAATCATTTATTTTGATAACAAAAATGTAGTAATACAATTGCAAAAATTTAAATTTTTTAAATTAAATTTTTTCTTCATTCCATACAACGATGGTTCCGATTTCATTAAAGTTGATTGAGGTAGAACACGCTAAAATTACTAAAATTCTAGAACAAGAAACAATAAATATAGTTCTAAGATATTAAAGGAGTACAAAAACACAGCTCATATCAATTTATAAAATGTTTGTTGGTTGGATAGTTTTTTTAAATTTTATAAATTTTGTTGCTTATAGAGAAATTATTTTCATTCTATAGAAATATAAGCTTAATTCCAAGGGACATAAAAAATTCGTTATATAGAGATTTCCGTTGTATAGAAGTTCGTTATAAGGAGGTTTGACTGCACGTTGAATTTATTTAATTGTATATTTATTTATTGAAATATATTGCTTTATCAAATTAGTTTATTCATTAACTTTTTAAGGACCAAAGATTTGAAAGCTGAACCTAAGAAATTCAAGCCTTTTTATTTGCATACTGTTAGTCATCCTTTTTAATTAATTGTTAAATGATA